CCTTCGCCTACAGAGAGCGTTGGATGTGAGCCTCACGGTGACCATTGGTAAGTTCAGACTTCCACTTCTATTAAAAGTCGAAGCCATTCTCACATTCACCATCAGGCACTGCGAGGGCGCGCGCGCCACCACCGCCGCAGCCGTCAGCGGAACCACCCTCCTCACAAGCGTTGCTGCCGCGACCACGACCGCCACCGAGGACCACGATCACGACCACGATGACGACCACTCTTCCGGCACCGGCAGCCTTGCTCCCTCCCCCACCGAGTCTGTCGGCTGCGAGCCCCACGGCGACCACTGGTAAGCCCAAAATACACAAATCTCCTTCTCGCTTCGAAACGATCTAACCCATGAGATAGGCACTGCGATGCTGCTGCCACAGCCGTCTCCGGCACGGCCTCTGCCTCGGGCACTGGATCCGCTGCCGTTACCACCACGGCTGCAGCTACTACTGCCGCCGCTGGTACTACTGCCGCTGGCAGCGCTTCTCCCAGCTCTACTGCTGTTCCCGCCGGAGCTGCTCGCGCGGGGTTTGGTGCTGCTGCCATCGCTGTCGCGGTCATGGCTCTGTAAGGGGTTCGTCGATGAGAAAATGGATTTTGTGCCTTTTAGGCATTTACGGATACACGAATTGAGACTCATGAACATAAACTGGATGGGCTATCGGTTCGAGGGCAGTGTTAGGACAGCGGGCAGGCCAAATCGGGGAGAACTTCGAGAAGCTGGGCCACCCAAGGGCATTTCTCCTCCCTTCCACTCCAAAGGGAGATGGGCTTTGATTGTAGCATAGAAACAAAACACGCATTTACAAACTACATGCCTTTCTTACTTCTTGACCATGATCACCTGTCACTAGACGCCTGCCCTTGTCTTGGCTCAGATCTTGACATTTGGAACTGCGCCCATTGCATCATAGAAGCTCAGGCACGGACGTAGTGACAGACCCGACACACTGGTTTGAGTCTAGACAGCGGGAAGTCAAAACCTGCAACCATGCGTGAACCGTTGGCATGCTGCTAGTCACGTCACCGGCGAGGATCTTCAGCCGCTCGTCTTTGTGTGACTGCGTTGCAGGAGTGATGGTAACTTCACTGAGCATGGTGCGGCTCACTACATCACCAAACGGCCGGAAGTTATCGCAGCAAAACGTCGGGCATCTTCCTTCCTACGCAATCATGATTGCGACTTCGGGGCCCGGTCTCATTAAGACAATATTGGTAGCCAGAGTTGTTTCATCCAGCATCGATAGATCCTCGCCGGAGGGAATACTATGTGTCAATCAGAGGTTCATAAGCGCCAACACGTGAGATTGGCCGGAGGAGCGCGCAAAAGTGCCTGCCGACGGTGAATCCTCTGCAATACGAGCCTATGGGCCTGCAGTAAGTCAAATCTTGGCGTTGGAGTTTGACGATCGGTATGGAGTATGAGGAACTGAGTTCGAGAGGCTCCGAGGGCCCTTAGCTAAAGCAGAATACCTCGAAAAGCCCTCATCATGATGGTGGTTGGTCGATCCGGTCTATTTTATAGAAGCCTTGGCATGCAGCTGTCGCCACTTATAACCATCAAGGTCGGAGGGGAAGCTAAACCATAGTCAGGTGTGAGTTTGTGCATGAGTGAGATGAGACTGCAAGTGAATGAGTGAGTGAGAGAAGTGAGAAGCAAAGGAGGGACGTTGCGGGAGGCCATCAAGGTTCTTATTTTGACGTGCATGTGGGGGGACAAGTGGGCGGTACGTACCGGGGGACCCGACGTTAAGCCACTTCAGCTGGTCTGTGCCCAATCAGAGCGGGTCCTCAGAGACAACAAGCAGGAAACACCCACTGGACATCGTGACTTCCTGTCTTGGCTTCTCCATCAGCGTTGCTTCCCATCTCGCCAGCTGCTGCCTTTCCCTTCCTTCCCTCTCCTGGCCCATGGCTGGCCATCCGGGTGCTCAGCCTTGGCGATGGGTCTCTCAGCCTTGGCAAACAGACCGCGTCGTCTTATGCTTTTTTTCGTCTCTTTTGGCTTCCCGCTTTTTCTCTCGACAAACACCATCGGTCCACTTACTTTGGACGACAGGGGCTTGTGATGCCCACGTTTCCATGGTTCCCTCGGGCTGCGGTGGCTCCTATCCCAGCGGATGCCATATCGACCTGACTATGGAATATGCTACGAATGTGGGCTGAAAGATTGCCTCGACCGTCATTGGCGCGCAGCAGGCTGCATCAAGCTACGATGCCATGCCCACGGGGAACCAACCTTAGAGTCATCCGACAAGGACAAGGTTAGCCGCCGCGACCGAGGGCCAAGACAATGAAAGACAAGCTTGGGCCGTGGAGACACGCAGAGAAACCTGGCAATGAACTCTCGGAAGCTATTGCTTTGTTGCGTTAGGAGAAAAGTGAGCAATCCGCCCAGGAGGGGAACCCGAAGGAGCAGAACAATGGATGGCATATCCGCGCATATTCAACACGGCCAACTGGCAGGGATCCCATCCGCCGCATCGAATTCTGATTTCACTCAATCGAACCTGCGCATGCTTACCTCGCAATTTGCAACACCCTACGCCTGGTATTCGCCTGTCTTCCTCCAGCCTCCCTGGCATCTTGTCCCTCTTGAGAAGTTCTCCTGCTGCAGAGACTTCTTCTTTCCTCGTCCACGTCCTAATACGCCATCCCATCACCCTGAGGGACTACACTGGCCAGACATACCGGCTCGGCGAATTGACTTCCACACCTGAACAACTTCTCTCAAGGTGCTCACTCTCCTCGCCTCTCCTGACGGGTCGTCCTTCAGACTCGCCACCTTGACAAGAAAATCTCTTCCATAAAACACCCAGACGAGAACCACCCTGCCGATAAGCGCAGCTTGACGCTTCCTGCAACACCATCCGCTCTTGGATTTCGTCCGGAGAAATCCAGCCCTGTCCGCCCATCTCAGCACAGACAAGGCCCAGGCTCGCTTCTACCTTATCACTGGCAGCTTCTTCAACATCTAGATTCGGACGCCATGGTCAGGTTCACTCCCGCTGCCGCCGTTGCGGCTCTTCTGAGTACTACCTCGGCCTCCCTTGTCGCACGGCAAACGGCTGCTAGCACCACTACCACGGCTGCTGCGTCTGATCCCACGGCCATCTCTCAGTGCTCCGTTGCCTCGTCCACTCAGTAGGAACCCTTAGTAGCTTCATTACTGTTACGCCGTCAAACACCTGCTCATACTTCATCTACTTCAGGATCTGCAAAGCTGGAACGACAGAGTTCACAGTCGTGTCTACCCCCACTGGCACACTGCCCAGTTCGTATACTGGATGCCACAAGCATGCAACTGACTTGTAAGCTCATTCAATACCATGTCAGCAACCTCTTCTAACACAATCGACACCAGGTATTGCTTCTATCCGGATGGCGAGGTTGAAGTCGTGGCCGCCAATGCGCCGGCTGCCACCGCTGCCACGACGACGGCGGCTGCCGCTGCGACTGGCGCACCCACGGCAGTGTCTGACTGCCACCTTCACGGAGTCACGGTGTAAGCGCTTCTTTCTACGCGGTAGCAATCTTCGCTGACGAACTTTCCAGCTTCTGTATGTGGGGCACTACGGAATATCAGGTCATGACGACGCCCACCAACACTGCCGCCTCAGCGATACCAACGGCCTTCACTGATTGTCATGCTCACGGCACTGAAACTTATTGTCTCGCTCCTAATGGAGATGATGTTGCCATCGTTGCTGAGGGCGCCGAATCTTCCGACCATGACCATACTAGCGGAGAAGAACCCCAGGGCGAGAATTGTCACTTCCACGCTGGTGTCGAGCATTGCGTCGGCGCAGGCGAGAGCGAGAGCAGCAGCGGCACGAGAAGCTGCGAAAAGGTCACGCGCGACTATAACATTCCTCTGCGTATCGGTCTCCTCTTCGTAATCCTGGTCACCAGCGCTTTCGGAGTCTACTTCCCCATCTTCATGATCAAGTGGATGCCCACTAAAACGCACACCATCTTCCTCATTCTCAAGCAGTTCGGCACGGGTATCATCATCTCTACCGCCTTCATCCATCTGTACACCCACGCCCAGCTTATGTTTGGCAATGAGTGTCTGGGCAGTCTTGGCTACGAGGGAACCACCTCTGCGATTGTCATGGCTGGTATCTTCCTGTCTTTCCTGGTCGAGTACATTGGAAAGCGCATGGTTTTGGCGAAGATGGCCGCCAATCCTGGTGCAATGACCCGTTTCTCCCCGGAGACAGTCACCGTCCTGGTCCTGGAGTGCGGCATCATCTTCCACTCTATCTGTACGCTGCCCTTTTAGATCACCCCCTCACTGTAGCATACTAACAAAGGATTGAACAGTGATCGGTATCACCCTTGTCGTGGCTGGTGATACCTTCTTCCTGACTCTATTTGTTGTCATTCTGTTCCACCAGATGTTTGAGGGTATCGCACTTGGCACTCGCATTGCCCAGCTCGGTCAGCCGACCCCGGCTGAAATGGCAGAGCGTCCTGCCTCGAGTGCGCCCGCCGAAGTCGAGCAAACCGCCTCCGCCGAGGGCAGCCTCAACTCCCTGAAGAAGCCCAGCTTCTCCCTCGTCAAGAAGCTCATTCTCGCTTCTCCCTTTGCGCTCGTCACCCCCATCGGGATGGCCATTGGCATCGGCGTTCTCTCGCGGTTCAACGGCAACGACCGCGACACCATCATCGCCATCGGTACTCTCGACGCGCTCTCGGCCGGTATCCTCGTTTGGGTTGGTGTTGTGGAGATGTGGGCCGAGGACTGGATGCTTCCTGGCGCGGAGCTCCTGAGCACTGGCCCGATCGTTACGACCCTTGCTTTCTTCGGTCTCATCGCCGGCATGATCATCATGAGTGTGCTTGGCAAGTGGGCTTGAGTCGTTGATTGAGGACGATGGAGGGAGAAGAGTGGTTAATGATGAGTCGTGGTGCGCAATCGCGTCACGTCTAATGCGGGAAATGGGAAAAGTTTGTAGATATTGGGTCGGTCCTTTTCATGATAGAAGCTATACCCTAAACGAGTGTAATGACAGTATGCTTTCCAGCATCGCCTAGGAACTCTCGTGCCTCTCCGTGCATGAGGCCTTGGAGGTAAACCTCGCCGATAAGCGCGTGGTTTCCACCGTCTGCTACAGGTCTGAAGATGTACAGCATGTTCGCGCCGGGGACCAGCCAGATCTTGTCACCTTGCACGGCCTCAGCCGGTGCCAGACCGACGAACCCGCGTTCAGTACGGATTAACCGGCGGCGATTGAACCGGCTCATCATGCCTGGGTTGCGATGCCAGTCCTCTTGGCGATATATTCCCACCTCTTCACCACCTTCAGATCTCGGTTCGATACTTGCTAGTCCGTGAAAGGCTTCTAATACTGTCTGTTCTCCGATAGCGTATTTTTCCCCGGGGTTCTTCAGGGTGTACGCTGGATAGGACTTTGTTCGAGGCACACTCAGTGCGTCAAATGCGTCCCATACTTTCGCCACGATATCAACTTTTATAGTTGTAATTTGCAACCGAGTCTCGTCCAACACCCTCCACGGCTTTGTATTTATGGGATACCCCTTGCTGGCACAGAAAACTTGCTCTCCTGTCGTGACGTCCCTTGAGAGTACCTTTCTTGGAAGGACTTGCCAGTCTGGCACCCAAGAGGGTAGGTCTGATGACTCGAAGCGGCAGATTTCGAGGATGCTTAGAGGCCAGTAGTCTTCGTCTTCTAAAAGGCATTCAGCGACGGAGGTGTAGAGCTGCTGGACAGTGAGGGAGTAGTCAACAGGAACAACGGCGCCCTCGGTGGGGCTTTGATCGAGGAGGTTCAGAGGCGCATAGATGCGGTCTCGCGGGTCAGTTGCCTGAAGATCACGGAATCGTAAGAGGAGGCTGATGAGGTTGAATCTGCGGACGCTTGAGATTTCTCCATGCCTTGATTCAACCTGATGGATCCGATCAACTTTGGATGAGGGTTTCATCTCATCGGGTGCTCGAGCAGTGTCATTAGAAGCCGGCATCCGCGCATAGCTCATCTTGAGATCATGAACAACTTTCTTCACCCTCGGAAGTGTCGCGTCCACAAACGAAGCATCTGCACCCCGTCTTCGTAAGCCATCTCTAAGCCAGTGCAACGCTTGCGTGTAGATCATCGTGGCGGGTAGGAAGGCAGTACGATCTACCCACGCCGTGCCGGAGAGGAAGACCCCGAAGTCAGTGGGAGCGGTGTACTCCTGTACCGTCCAGACTCGGTTCCAGTAGGTTGACTGAAAGACTCTGACAGTCTCCCGGATGGTCATATACCGGTCTTTGACATGGATGGGAAGAAGTTTTGGAGCCTCTTTGCGATTTCGAGAGACGGTGAGTGCGTGGTCGCCTAGTTCGCGGAGGTACATTAGCCCCAGGGCGAGATCTGGACCGAGCCAGGTCAAAACTAAGTCTGCTGAAGTATAAATCTCCCGCATATGCGAGACCTGCTGGCTTCGTTCTACGGTATCTGCCTGATTTATCGATATGGCATCGATCCATAGCGGGATGATCTGAGATGGCTTCAGGAAGAGGCGAATGTGCTGGAGGGCGGAGTGAAGGTTCCTTGTGGCATGGAAGACGTGGTTGTCGACGTAGATGGCGAGGGTGTCAGAGGGACTGCCCCAGACGTAGGAGAGGGCTGTGTATCCTGCTGAGAGGGGTGTTGTTTCGGTTGTGAGGGTTACTGGGGTTGAAGGAGGCCCCGCTTGAAGGTTGACGAGGCGTATTTCATTTTGTTTGAGGGGGGTGTAGGAGAGGGGAGTGGTTTGAAGAGGGGGAGGGGATTTGCGGGTGAAGAGAGTGCGGAGAGGTGACTTTGAGGGTTTGATTAGGAGTGGAAGAGGTGGTGATGAGGGGTCCAGGGCCAGGTTTGAGAAGGGTTCGTCTATTCCGTTTAGTCTCGCCATTGTATTTGGTGGCATTGTCTCATCCGATTTCTCTAGGATTGGGGAGGATTCGGGATGAATAAGCGACAGGAAGTTTGGAATAAGGTTGAAAGACAGATGTGAGGACTTTGGGATGTGAGATTGCCCAATCAGGCAGCAGCGTTGCACTGCATCCTTCGATGTCGGAACAGGGGAAATGTGGCGCTAGACCCGGGGCTGACAGGTGAACATGAGGAAGTGGCTGATGCACAATCATACAACTACTGAAGCAAATAAAGGATGAAGTCTTTTTCCTCTCTTCTCTTTGTATGAGAATTGTCATCCATAATCTACTCAGGACATGGAAGTCGTCTGGATGAGAATGAAATTGTTTCTGTCAAGTTGAGCCCAAGACTCTGAAGGTGATGCTAAACACCGTAAAGCTGTCAGTCGACCTGGTTAGGAGTTACAACAGTATGGCTTCTCCATCGAGTTGTTTCTTCAGTGATTGCGATAGCTTTGTCAATCTCGTGAAGTCCAAACTTCCGAACCTGAGTGCCACTTCCAGTGCTGATATCAAGCTGTCCTGATTCGATCATGTGAATCAATCTTATCACAGAGTCGCGATTGCACATGAACGAACCTTCGACTGACAATCTGTTGAACACCATTGAAATGTACGGAACCTCCAAGAAGCCGTAAGCTCCACCGCTAACTACGATCCGCCCGCCTGGTTTCAGCGCGCGAATAGCCGATGGAAGAAAGGGAGCGACGGTGACGCCGCCGGGAGACCAATCGTTGAAAACGTCCGCCCCTCCACCACAAGGTGTGGCCGCGAGAATGGCAGCGGCATCTGCATCGACGTCGCCCGTCATGAGAACAGTACTAAGCCGAGAAGACTTCAAAATCTGCTTCATGGCTTGTAGCAGCTCTGCGTTTCGTCCAAGGGCAACGACGTTTGCTCCAACCGCCAAGGCCAACTCAATCGCGCTTCCACCAAACGATCCACCCGATGGCCCAATGATGATTGTATCGCAGACCTTGAGCTTCGCTGACTCAAAGATAGCTCCGGCAGCTGGAGAAAACGTGCTGATGGAGACAAGGTTGATCAGGTCGATGCCTAACTTTCCGATGAGTTTCTCATCTATACGGTAGGCGTTTTCGAGTGGAACGCGCTGATACTGCTGCAGAGCACCATCACGAAACTCTCCCTCGGCTAATTTGTCCGTTTTGTCGCCAGGCGGCCCCTTGACGTGGCCTTGCATGATGAATACGTTCGGATCATCGCGAGCCGTGACTACAGGCTCAACGTGTACCAAGTCTCCCTCCTTGAAGGATGTTGTGCCACTGCCAATTTTGTGCACGTACCCGAGAGTTCTTGGGCACGGGACAAAGGGCGGATCGAGGAGGGGGGCAGGGATCGTGCCGTCGAATGCGGTTCGGGCGTAGCGCGATAGTGGTGTAGCGAGGACTTTGACAACGATGCTGCCAGGAGTGGCTTCTGGGATGGGTTCGTCTTCGACAATGACGAGAGGCTTGCCGTGTTGCTCGAGCACTGCTACCCTCTGTGTGATAGGGATGGAAGACATGATTGGGTTTTACTCAAGAGACTGCTGACACATGGTCATGACAAGCTACAGCTCAAGATTGCAGACGACCAGGCCCTTATGGATTTCTCACGATCTTAATTATCATGCCTTGTCTGGGCATCATATTTCTAATAGAGATGTTCAAAGTTTGCAAGATCCGGAAAAAGATGATAAGCAGTTGAGAATGAAGTGCGTTAAACTCCGCGGCTGGCGGAGAGCTTGCGACTGATATCCGCTAGGTAGTCGATGGATTGCTACCTAAGCTGCGGAGATCGGACTTTCGAGAGTTAAAGCTGATTCTATCAGCTACTTTTCATAAGAACTGAGTTGGAAATACATCCGCCTGCCAAACAGATCCGCCTGATCTCCGCCGTGCTTGTGATTTTCAGGTACAACTCTGCTCGGTCTCGCTTTTGTATACCAAGTCTGAGACTTTGGGAAAGCTAACATCCCATCGAGCGGGGAATGGCGTCATTACATGCTTGTACGGAGTGATAGCTAGTTCTGAGACAATATTGAAAGGAAATCTAGAGAAAGATTGGGGGTAGATAGATTGACGCCATTTCGCAAACAAGACACCGTGCTATCTCGATGATATGTCTAACAACCAATTTACTCCAGGCCATCCTATGAATCTTGAGAATGATCGCTTCTTAAATTCCTTCCCCCATCGACCTCATGGCATGTCTCCTTTTCCCTCTGTGTTTCTAAATACCGTAAAAGTGGCCCCTTTGGTGCATCTTCACGTCCCATGAAAACCTCGATCATTTTGAGTCCTCTGCCGAAACTCAGCTGTTCACTACCCAGAACCTCATTCAATTCCGCCCAAGTCCTGCAAGCAGCGGTATAGGTCTCTTGACTTCCACCAAAGAAGTAAGGGGCCTGGAGATACCGCCAGGTAGATATGTCGTTATACTCCTGTTCGCGCCCATGAATACATCTCTCAATGGTGTACCCATCGTTGTTGATCAAGAATATAACAACATCAAGATTGTGGCGTATGATAGTTGCTAGCTCCTGAGCCGTCATCTGGAAGCTCCCATCGCCGATGAAGAGTATCGCACGAGCTTGGCCTTGTTGCAGACCATGATACTTCGACTCTGCGACTATTTCACGCTGTGCAAGTGCTGCGCCCTGGGCAGCCGGTAGCATAAAGCCAATGGAAAGCCAAGTAGCAGGCGTGAATAGTCTCGTATGCGGTGGCAAGTGAATATCCCGTACCCCATAGCCCGCAGTGCCAGTCTCTCCAAGTACTATGTCGCCAGGCCTAATAATGTTGGCAAGAGAGCGCCACAGCTTGTCCTGGTATATTGGCCCCGAGTTCCCCGCCAGTGTATCCAAAGGCAAGTGGGAGTCTCGGTGAAGGAGAGGATACGGATTATACTTGGCAATCCTCTTGAAGTCGATGTCGCGGATCAGCCCAGATGTGACAAACGACGCTGAGACGTCGTGAAATACTTCAGAGCCCAGTTCCACCTTGGTTCCTTTGATGAAGATGCAGGACTGGAAATTCGAGAAAGTGGTAAAGCCATACGTGTTGCTCGAACTCAAGTGTGGTCCAAAGAAGAGGACTAAATCTGCGCCCTCGATAGCTTCCTTGACAGATTGCTCCGAAAAGTCTCCCTTGTAGATGCCGTGGAAGTTTGATCTCGTTTCGTTGAAGAGTCCTTTGCCAAAGTTTGTCGTCCAGGTTGGCCATCCGGTTGTATCAATGAGAGCCTGGACGTCGTTGATGATCCCTAATGGCCTACATTCGCCGTCGGCAATGATGATTGGTCTCTTAGTTTTATAGATGCTCCGGAGAATCTTCTGTAATACGGCGTCGCTTTCCCCAATCATGCTCTCATTGTAATCCGCGTTGCTCAAAGGAGTCTGCAGCTGCCCGGCAGGTACGCTGAAAGCCACAAGATCCATGGGGATCTGGATGTAAACAGGGCGGCTGTGCAGAATGCACTGTTGCAACACAGTATCGATTTGCTGAGTTGCTGTGCGGAAGTCCCATAGTGACGTTTGCGCTACCGTGACGTACTCCTGCATCTTCGCGAACCGACCATAATCGCCATCCGCAAAGGTGTGGTGGATGAGCAGCCGTGCATCTTGAGATGCTCTCGATGGGGTTCCAACGATATGCACAACAGGGGAAAGTTCCGCGTAGGCACCGGCGATACCGTTCACCGCAGAAAGCTCGCCGACACCGAATGTCGTGATCACTGCGCCGAGGCCTTTGATTCTTGCATATCCGTCTGCCGCATAAGCCGCGTTAAGCTCATTCGCATTGCCAACCCAGATGAGTCCCGATGGCTTCACGTAGTCTAGTAGATCCAAGTTGTAGTCACCGGGAACGCCATGAATTGCGCCGACACCGAGTTGCCTCAATCGAGTAAACAGATATGTGGCGATAGTCGTCGAGTCAGGCATAATGACCGAAACTGTGCTGCGGTTGTAGGTAATCTTGAGGAAATGAAAAGGAGTTACGCAAGACTTGACAGAGAAACATCAACATAACATCTTCCTTCGTCAGTTCAAATATATTCTTGATTCATCATTGACCATAATCAAACTATACTCATCAATCACTCCGAATCTCGGTATTCTTCCTGAGCTGTGCATTGCATCGTTCGTTAGGTCCAGCCCGGAGTTCTCTGATATGCTAAGCGTCTTGTACCCCTGTCCGCCGGTCACTCCGGTGTCCGATCCGATCTTTCTCCGATCCTAGCACGTCACTCCGAGGCCTCTTCTTCTCTATCGCACTTCCCATCTATCATCAAACTTCGCGCGCTACGCCAGCCTCACTCAATCCGACTTTCACTGCTAAACAACGTTTACTGTCGAGTGGCTGAATCTTATCAAAGTCTTACCCGGCGATGAATTCGAGACAGGCCGCCTGTGAGCCCTGCAGAAAGTCAAAGCTTGCATGCGGCCACGAACGGCCCACTTGTCTCCGGTGCAGACAACATGACAGAGCCGGCTTATGCGCTTACAGAGCGTTTCCCTTCAAAAGAAAGCAACCACCAAGCGCCTACTTGCCCGACGCCGAAACAGTCTCTCCGTATGAACCACGTCGCTCTCCACAAATGTAAACCTCAGCCTTCACGGGTGATGTAATCTGACCTAGGAACCATAGTTTACGAGAGCCTTCTCTGTCTTTCAGTCCGACGGATCGCGAACATCCGTACCCCAACCCAGGTTATCTCGGACAGTCAAGTCATGTTGCCATTTTCGATCAAATTCGCCAACAACATGATGAAAATGAGGAAAGCGCAGGGTCCAGCCTCAACTCGCCATCAAACCCTGGCCGGCGGTTGAGGCTCATGTCGTTTGAATCCCAGCAAGCAAAACAAGGCGCTGAGTGTTTAAAGCAAATTCTGCGCGGAAACAATTTGTGCGACATGAAGAGCCTTGTCTGGTTTTGGCGGGCAAGAGGCGCTAACCTGGCTCTCGCCGGTCCTTTTGTAGAGTTGTGTTGTGAAAGCGTAGATTGCTCTTCGCTATCTACCTTCCAAGGGGAGACTTGGCATAACGCCCTTGCCCAGAAAGTGGTAGAGAACACAGCATATCCGCTCAAATATGATGCTAGGACCGAGTTCTCCGACTACGTTGCGCAGTTGACTCACACACATACTCGGTGGGAAACAATTGGTATATTTCTTTGTGCAGTCCTGAGAGCTTCAATGGACACCCCCTTCTTTCCCTCTCTGTTTAACTCCTCAGTTCAGAAACGCGACTTCTGCGCCATGCTGATGCGTCAAATCGGCTGCATACTAGAAGTTTGCTTGTCTTTAGATTGTCTTAATGACCTGCAGCTTCTCTTACAGTATGAACGTTGCATAATTCACTCTTACGTGGACGGCGATCAGAGTGGGTGGTGCAGCCTGGGCTCGAGGATTTGTCTGCTCACAACTCTGACAGGTTACAATTTGTGGCGAAGCTTAGGTGATGCTGTTTCGTCTACTTTCGCGCTGGGCTACCATGAAAACATGGAGAACAAGCCGGATACGCCATACTTCCTTGTGCAGTTGCGCAAGATGGCCTTTGCCCGGATCTATTCCGCGGACAAGAATGTCTCCCTGTTTCTTGGCAGACCATTACGCATGAGCAAACGGTTCTGTCATTTTCATCTACCAGATACACTTCCGCCCTCGGAACCTTCGCCATCTGATAACCGGCGTAGGTTGGTTGACTGGCTGCCGAATTCAGCCATGGATTACAGGTCAGAGACGCGCTGGTCAGCACTGTGTGCGTCGATCAAAGAAGAAATCATGGAGCTTCTCTTCGACCGTAGTCGCGCGGATCATACAGCCAAGATCCTGTGAGTTTGGTCATACTTATGGCATGCCCGCCCATGATAACTAACCATTGAAGTGAACTTGACCAATTAATTGAGGAGCAATGGCGTGCACTTCCGGATAGATTTCGTTTTGATCAGCGACCACCAAATAACGCCACCCCCTTCGAACGTGATTTTTTGTTTAGCGTCCATCTCAACCATCTACATGTCAATCTTTTGTTGAGGCGTCTGACTTTGGAGCGCCAGTCAGAGCCCGATGGTGCTGTCATTGAAATAGCCCTGAAGATGCTTAGCTTGGTGGTCGATATTGTACTCACTCGAGATGAACTTGCAAATTCGGGCACCAATCTCAGTTGGAAAGTGAGTACCTTTGCTCTTGCTCCATCATGTTTCCTTCTAACAATGGTCAAGGTCGCTCACTATGGGCTACCGGCAGCTGGTATGGTACTCCTCGCAATGGCAAGCCAGATAGATGCCCCGGTCTTGGTTGCAACACGTGCCAAGATACTACGAGATCTCACCGTACTGGCCGCAGAAATTGAGAGAGGAAGAATTGTGAAACTTGAAGATCCGAATTACGCTTTGTTGGCTAAAGCCGCTAAGACCATTGGATGTTTTTTGGATTCGGTCTTTAGTGACGATGGGAGGAACAGGAGTGGTTTGGACATCAGTTTATCAAACAGTAGCCCTCGGCAAGCCACGGATGACACTTCATGGGCGGAAATATTGGGATCGGATGCTTGGGACTCTGAACTAACATTCTGGCAAACCCTCGCGGATCACCCTAACGTGTTCAACCAGTACCTAGTGTAGGCCTAAAATTGGCCTAAAATTGGCCTAAAATTGACAAGTCCTATCGGCCTTTGTGTGGTGCAGGGAGATATGATTTCCAATGGATGCAGTGGAAGCTCAATTTCGGTTGGCTGTCATGGGCAGACGTAGAATGCAGCTCCGTTAGTCAACGACTAACGAATTCTAGGTCATGGCTGCATCTGTTTGCGTCCTGCTACCATGAAGTTCTTCTGTCGTCTTGTCTCGATTAGTGCCTTTATTTCGCTCTCGGTAGGTAGTTTGGGAATGTCTTGTGAGGGCCACCACCAGTGAGCAGTCAAGCCGATTCGGGGTTAATCTAATGTGACGGCTATGAACATGCGTCTACCTAAGACATGTAATTGCGCAATCTTTCGCTCTTGTGTATCAAGAAGCATGCCTTACATACGGAGTATTGGCATGCCTCTTCCGGCTCCATCCTCTTACACCGTTCCGAATCCGTTCCGTGTCGGACAAAGCCCCACTCCGACTCCCATAAGCAGATTGTCGAAGTCATTCGTATACCAATAGAGTAATCGGGACGGACAAGATGCTCGCCATCATGTTTTCTCCACGGGGCAGAAAACTGAATATCGTAAACAATTTGGGCAAGTATTGTGGCTTCTGCAACCCATAAAGTACCCTTAATTGCGTGATGGATCGGGATATTGCGACTTCAGGACTCCAACACTGACTTGGATGAGGGATTAGTTCTCCCCGATTGAACAAGATTTATGACCGACCCAATACTATTTGACTAATTCAATCTAGTCGGGCTCTCTGACTGATCTGACCCTCTCCGACTCTGAACAGCCCCTGTCCGATCATGTTGTACTATGACATGAATTCCTTTGGTTGGCGTATATGATAAGCCTGGTTCTCAACCACTGAATGTGATGTGGAACTCTGATAATATCTCAAGCTTTCAACAACTTTACCGAAATAACCCTCAACATGACTTTCAGCGATGATCTTATCAAACTGCAACAAAACCGCTCAGCTCAAGAACCTCTACCATCTGGTATCGCTCCATACACTTGCTCTGCCTTCTTCAAGGGCCGTGAATATGGAATGAAGCCAAAGGCCCGGCGCTGGGATCATCTACTCAGCAAAGAAAGTCACAATTTGAAACCTTCACCCCTCAAAACAGCTTCACGAGCCAGCGGACAGAAGAAGCTGATTAGCTTAGGCACAGCTCGTCCCGCTCCAGAATATTTCCCCTGGGAGTCCCTGTCACTTCGATGCCTTCAAAATACCGTTACCGAGCAGGCACAACCTGCGCCAACGGTGTCAATGGCTTCAGTCAAGCTTGAGCAGTCATACGACCTAGGTGTGGCAATGAACTACGGGTTCTCTGGAGGATCACCTCAGGCGCTGAGATTTGTGACGGAACACATTGAAATTATTCACAAGCCTCCTTACGATGATTGGGAATGTTCCTTGACCTGCGGTACGACTTCGGCCATTGAAATTGCATTCCGTATATTTTGCAATCCTGGGGACACCATTCTTACTGAGACCTACACTTATTCTGGGGCCATGACTTGTGCTCATGCCCAGGGTCTCCACATACTCGGCATCGAAATGGACGATCTGGGCCTACTTCCAGACGATCTTGACCACAAACTTCGGACATGGGACTACACAAAGGGTCCAAAGCCATCAGTCTTGTACATGATCCCGACTGGACAGAATCCTACGTCAACTACGCAAAACCTGATTCGCCGAAAACAGATATATGCCATTGCAGAGCGCCATGATCTCTATATCCTCGAGGATGACCCGTACTACTTCCTTCAATTGGGCAAATCGGAACAGGCACTTGCATCTACACAACTCGACAAGACAGACGCAAATGAGGAGTTTTTCAAGTGTCTTTCACCCTCATATCTTTCACTTGATGTGTCTGGCCGTGTTCTTCGCATGGACACAACATCCAAGATTCTCGCTCCGGGTCTGAGATGTGGGTGGGTCACCGGGAGTTCTCAGGTCATTCAGAAGTTGGTGTCATACTACGAGATTGGTGTGCTATGTCCCAGCGGACCGTCGCAAGTCATGTTGTATAAGCTTCTAGACGAGACTTGGGGCCACGACGGCTTGTTCAATTGGCTTAGGTCACTATCGCTTCAGTATCGCTGCCGGCGCGATAATCTGCTGGAATCATGTGAGCGCTTCCTTCCCTCTAACCTCTGCGAGTGGAACATCCCGGCGGAGGGCATGTTTCTGTGGATAAAGGTGAACATTTCCGGATACCGGCAAACACACACGGCCAGCCATGGAGATGGTAATGTGGCTCGCTATCTTGCTGTTGAAGACAGGATTTATCAGAAGGCCCACGACAACGGAGTTCTCGTCAGCAAAGGAAGTTGGTTCATTGCGGATGTTCAGACACTAAGGGGTGTCAACTTCCGATTGACGTTCGCGGCTGCGCCTGTGGGCGAGTTGGATGAGGCTTTACAGCGATTCGCCAGGGCTCTGGAAACGGAGGTGCGCTGAAGCTTACTCGTGTCTTAGTGCAGCTTACATGTAGAAGATAGGATTATGAAATAGAGGAGTATCTAAAATCGCAGTCTCCAAACCTTTACCTCAACAGCCAACGTAGATATATGCCAAGCGGCTACACCGAGGCTGAGGCAAGCTAAAGTAAATCAGGAAATGTGTGAAACGTGCCAAATGTCTTATGGCTAAAAATCTACAAGGTAGATTTCCAGCCACCCTCCGCCTCGAAGATCTCGCCGACCGCCTTGGAGACTACCAAGAGATGACGGTCATGATACCTGGGAGCTACAAGGGAAACGCCAACGGGCATCCCGTTCGGACCCTTGAAACCTGGAATATTGACGACGGGAACATGCAGCGCCTATCACCCTTGTTAGCACTAACTGCCCGAAAGATCGATTCCGAGCGTGACCTACTGTCCAAGGAGCGTTGAAAGCTGCACTTCCGGTGCTCGAGGTTCCTTCCGGAGCCTCATCAACGACGCTAGGCACCAGAACAGCATCGTACTTGGCCAGCATCTTGTCAACTTTGGGCCTTGCGATGGCAATGTTGTCAAATGCCTCTAGCTGCTCCGCTCTGCTGATCTTGTTGGTGTTATCAACATGCGAAATCAAGAACTCGTGCAGTTGATCCTTAGCAGCGCGGTAGTCGGGCAGGAAAGCGGATCTTCCGTCGCTGTGCAACACCGTAGCATGCCACTGAGGTAGCTCCTCAAGCTCGGGATCGAATTCAATCTCTTCTACCTCGGCTCCGTGAGCCTTGAGAAGCTCCGTAGCCTTCGCCATCGCGGACTTGGTACCGGGTCCAGCTTGAGGCCACACCATCGTCTTCAACAGAGCGAACTTGGCGCCCTTGACAGCGAAGGTGTCCTTCGGGGGCTCGTCGTCTTTCAAGTCAAAAACATCGGCCATCAATTGCAGGTCTTCAACACTGCGGGCGAAGAAACCGAGGGTATCTAGGATCAAGGAGTAAATCTTCTGACCCTCGCGCGTGATGGAGTTCCATGTCGGCTTCAGGGCGTAGATGCCATTGAAAGATCCTGGGCGGATCGTGCTTCCGCCTGTCTGGGTGCCTAGGCCGATAGGCGCTTGGAAATCCGCAATGGCGGCGCCTGATCCTGACGAGGAGCCACCGGGGGTTCGGTTCGTGCCATGTGGGTTCACTGTCTTTGGACCTTGAACCGTCGCTGCGAATTCGGTCGTGGTTGTTTTGCCTACTTTTGTCAGTATCGCATTGCTGGGGTTGGGTTGAATTATCAGCATGGACCTACCAAGAAGCAGCGCGCCAGCCTGTCGCAAAATTATGATGGAACCGGCATCGACTTTGGGAGCGTCTCTAGCGTAGATTGGAGATCCGTGCTGTGTTGGCATATCTAGATTTCGATTAGCGATCCTGTAGAATCACAGGCTGATATTCGCTGACCCTTTGTGTAAATAACGTCTTTGACTGCGATGGCTACGCCGTGTAGGGGTCCGCGCTTCTCTGGCGGTATCGCATCCATTGCCTTCGCTTGTGCAATCACCTGCTCTGGGTTCAAGTACTCCCAAGCTTTGACTACGGGGTCTCTCTCCTCAATGTGGGACAAGAGCGAGCGCGCGTACTCTTCCACAGTTAACTCCCCGGCCCTTATCTTGGCTGACGCTTGGGTCGCCGTAAGTCTATACGGTTCAACTGCCATTTTGTGATGGTGTGGCAGTTTTGCTATTGTCAAGAAAAGATATCAGAGATAAACGTTTTGACAATACAAACTCGTCAAGTGCTTCAGTGGGAGACGATCCAGAACAAGAAGGCGGGGTGTTAACAGAGTCAGAGCGCCACGGTTGCAGTGGACTCTGTCCAAGGTATGCACTCAATAGCCTCGGGAATAATTCCGGTACTGTAGCTGTTCTGAGCTCCAGAGGTTCAGAAGGTAACTCTCGACTTTGCAGAGTCTATGAAACGGGATGAGAACATGAACAAAATCGTGGAGTTCTCAAGAGTTGGAGTAATCTGGAGGCAATCCGGCTATTTCAAAGATGTTTTCCGGTGACTCCAACGGCCGTAAGAGGGGCCATCCCTGATACCCCAACCCCGCAGGCCGTTATCGTCGGCTTCAGATCCGCCGCCACGTTCGTTTCCCCCGCAATATTTCCGCCTACGCCTTCAACAGCAGACTGCGATACGTCCGATTCGGGATCTTTCCACCGAATGAGGCGTGCATTCTGATAATTGTTGCCCGAAACTCCAACGCTTACATTTTGAGAGGCCGAGGGTGACCCGCTGACTTACGCAACGGATTGCCTTTGCTGGCTAGATGGGGCTGCTTTGGGGCGGCTTCTCCAGTCACGTCATAGCAACATGAAGTCAAAAGGATGCCAAGTAGTTGGCGGGGATTCTTGTCCCACGAGACGTTCTCACAACTTCTACCACTGCTGTGGTTCTTCTCATACTGTCACTGAGACTACCACAATACCTATTGTTCCTAGCATTCTGCCTTCTACTAAGATCTTTTCCATAACTAATTCATCTCAGAAGCAAAGTAGGAGTAAGTGGGGGATTGAGTTCTCGACAGCCATCAATCATTAGGGAACCACAACTAGGCCTCCAATTTCTGCACTTTCTCTCCCAAGTGCAATTCTTCAGCCTCGTCAATGCGCGGAGATGGCGGCGCATAAATCTCGCCTTCCCTTTCGCCCTCAAAGAACCCATCCCGGCCTTCTTTCGCCAGCCATTCGTAGTCCATCGGGGCATTCTCATGGCCCGGAGGATACACCTTGGTCTTGAAGAACTGCACTAGCACAGCATACAAGATGGCTGATGAAAAAAACGTCAACACCCAGCCCATCATGTACATGTACTCAGCCGGTTGGCTGACAATATGAGGCTGGTATTGCCCGACGAGACCGGGCAATCCCATTGCCGTACCGCCGATCCAGGCAAACACTCCAACCCAGTTGACTCCAGAATTGAACCAGTAGAGACCCTCTTTAGAGCCATTATACAGCGACGGCACGTGTATGTTACCCTTTCGAACCAAGATGTAGTCGAAAATGATAATCTGGTGAGAGTCAGCAATACGTTCTCAAGACTGGTTTTCAAGACTGGGCGTTGAAGTACTCACAGCGCAAAGGGGAGCCATGAAGATGTTGTAACTCCCGAGGAATGAGATGAACGCGGACGCGTTTGCAATAAGCTTCCACGGCAATACAACAATACCGAGGATTGCACAAACGATCTGGCCTCGACGGATCGTCAAGTACCTGGGGAACAGTCCAGTCATGTCCGCGCCAAAAGGTAGCGAGTTTGCTCCAAAGTTTGTCGCCAGCACGCTGAGAATGAAACTGAACGATACAAAGAAGACACCAGCACGGGCGGTCGGATTCCAGTAATGGTCAAGGATGGCGTCAAGAAGATCCCATAGGTTCCAGTAGGCCTTGCCCCAAGCACCCTGTAATGAGGTCGTGGAAGCTAGGCCAAGGAAGAAGACGAGGATCTTTGCGAAGAAGACACATGCTCCTTGGAGCCAACCGGCATCTCGAGGCTCTCTGCAGTATCGCGCGAGATCAGGTTGGTTCACGAGCATTGGCGAAAGAGAACCCATGATGACATTGATGCCGCTCATGATAGCCCATCCGACGGGTGTTTTAGCTGCTGCCGATGCGCCTGCGACAGATGCAGCGCCAATATTAGAGATTCCGGTTCCATAGGACATACACCAGCCGAAGAGTCCGAAGCACGCGAATGGCATGATGAAGCCTTTCACGGTGTAGATGTAGTGAATATGAATCGGGTGTACCCAGGTCTGCCGCCAATGTCAGGGAATGCATGTCATTAGAGGGTCGCACACTACATATACTCACAAACGGGAACTCAACCAGCCAAAGGAGAAAGAACGCCAGCAGCTGCTTTGAAGTCACGTCGGCACCAGTGGGAAGCATATTGGGCCAGTTGTCCCAGCTGTTTCCAAAAATGCAGCGGAAGCAAACGGACAACAGGTTCGCGCCGTAGTAGGTCTGAATACCGTACCAAATGATGCACACAATTGCTCGGATAAAGATGAAGAAGTATGATCCATACATTCCCATCACCGATCGTGCAAGAACAGGACTTGAAAAGATGTCAGAAACTACCAAACGTGGGAGGAGTGTTTGAACGCACTATCCTAGGTGGTACATCACGCCAGGTCTCGCCATACCAGTAACGATAATAGCGGATATGAGTGAGCCAAGAACGCAGGATACAAAGGCTTGTTGCCATGTCTGATCTTGTCAGCGCATATGAACAACGATGTTATCTTTTGATAACTTACCAGACCCACGGCGATGAGGGAAGACGCGACGTTCCACCCGGTCGTCCCAAACATGTTTGAGAACCAGTACAAAGGCAAGTTGTACCACGTCCATGTTCTTTGTTCTGGCGGCGTCGGCTCGAGATCCTTGTTCGACCACCCAGAGTCTCCGACCTGAGTTCGTCCCTCGTGAACTTCGGGAGCCTTGATCCATTCTACGAAGGCGTCTTTCGATTGGAAAGGCGCGGCTATTCCGCCTTTCGTTGGTATACGAAAGCGTACCATAATTAGTTGAACCTGTGGTGACCGAACAGCACTATCAGAACCCTATCAACCATCAAAGAGACATGTTTTCGTGGAAATGCACGTCCTCTTTCTTCTTTACTCTACAACACTGAGGGCCTTCGTCCATATTAGAGGCCCGGTGCTCAAGTATCAGCTCTATTGCAACCCTGATTGTAGTTCCTCATTCGTCGGCGATTTTCCAGCCGATAGACAGTGCGTCGCCACGCGAGCCCAGTGAGCTGTCTAACCATGAGTTACAACTAAGGTATGATAAGAATTCGGCATGGCATATGCGGAGAGTGGTGCTTGGCATGTAGATGGATGGGCCGGGGACCTGGTCTCGGGTGTGATCCACCAAGATAAGGCGGTGGCCGGCCGTTGGTCTTATCTGCGGTGGACGTCCGAATAGTTATCCCAATTCGGTAAAGATGCGGTCATCGGTAAGAAACTACAGACGTTTGCGTATCACTCGGGTTCTGAGTGAGGGTATGGTGCTAGGAGGCAGAGTCCTAGCTGCTTTGTGCTTATTCCCGTGGAAGGGGCAACCATGGATAGAACAACGAATGAGTTTCTGGATGTTCTGAAGGTGTCTGTACCATTGTAAGGCAATTAGGAGTAGAAGTAAAGCTAGATGATGACGCGAGCCATCACCGGACTGATTTTCTGGGTCAAGTTCCCGTCATGAGCAGGCCGCGTGCTATCCGGGGGAGGGGGGCTTCGGTGTCCGAATCCTTCGATATTCCTATCGACCCATACATCTCATACTTGCGTTTGCATAGGTGTGTCCAATGACACTCCCGATTCTGATTGTGGAGGATCCTTGCAGGCGTTGTCCTGGCCCATTCTACTTCGGCTCGAAATTTACCTAAGTTCCTACTTCGTATCCTCACTGCAGTATTCAACCATACATACAAGCCGAATCAGGAGAATGCTCGAGATGACTGCTCATGTTCAGACCGAGAACATGCTGGACAAGACATCTCCCGTAGATCTGGTCAACTCCACGTCGGCCGGCTTCAACACGGAGGGTCTTGTGAGTCCCCGCACCGGCCCACCGGTCTCGGCGGCGCAGACCCGGAAGTCGAGGGTGGCCTTGGCTTGTAAGCGATGCAAGAGAAGGAAACAGCGTGTAAGTCATTTATATCGACAGCTAGATCCATTGTTCATTTGCTGACTAAATACGACATGGAAGTGCGACGGCGCACATCCGAGTTGCAGGTCTTGCGTCAAGTCCAACTCGTCATGTGTCTATGAACGTGCACTGAGGCCGCACTATCCTGGAGGAAAGTCGCTGCAAGTCTTTCCCTTCATGCTGGTACAATTGTATACTTACACGAGCTTCAGGTACATCAGCGCACTAGAAGAGAGAATCGCATTTCTCGAGGCCCGGATGCCAGATTACGCAGAAGACCACTTTGTCAGGACATCTTCCGTGGCAACACCACCGGAACCCAAGACGAAAGATCCTCGGAGAAATTCACGAGACCCACTATCGGACGATGAGCAGTCCTCTCTAGTCAACGGCGTTGCGTACTTGTCGCTCTGTGCATCTGGCACAACGGACACTGCACCAGAGCCATTCTACCTAGGATCCAGTTCCGGCGCAACCATTGCGCGCATGATCCAGTCTTCCATCTTTCACAGCTCGGGCGGTAAAGCTGCGTTTGATGCTATACCAACGACTCAAGCTCTCTCATCGACTCCGCAATTGCATTTCGAAGTATCGGTGTCCTCTAGCCCGAAGGAATCCCAATCCGAGTTCCCGTGCCCTGAGCAAGCGGAGGTGCTGTTTGATGTCTTCTCTGATCGGCTTCATACGCGATGGCCTATTCTGGATCGCAAACTGTACACTAAGCTATTCCAGAAGCAATACGACCGTGGAGCCCTGTCTATTCAGCACCAAAGCATTATGCACCTGATATACGCCATATCCGCAAGGTTCCTACAGTTGATGAAGAAGCCTTGTGATGTAGATCCCCAGGTGAAAGTTTCCTGAAGGCAAAGCTTGCCGTTACGAATCTAACATGGTCACTGTCAGAAACATCTCACGGCGGCCATTGAGCCGATGGACTACATACTGGAACAACACAATCTAGCCACTGTACAATTTCTCCTCCTACTCGCCGTGCATGGAACTAGAAGTCCCTACGGTGCCGGCTCATGGTCTCAGGTGCGGTACGCTATCACGCTCTGCATAGAGCTGGGTCTCCATCGAAAGGAATCTAACACCTCGACTCACGATTTACGCGATCTCGAGATCAGAAGGCGCGTCTTCTGGTCATGTTACTGTTTGGACCGTATGACGAGTGCGGTACTTGGACGTACATTCGCCATCGCCGACAGAGACATAAATACCGAGGTCAGTTAGAGGAGAGCCTGCTGTGGGGACATGATGATGCTGACAGCTGTGTAGCTTCCAAGTGATAGCTTAGATTTCTGGGACTTGACAGCACTGAATAGCCCATCAAATTCACCCGGACTGCCTTGGTCAAACATGAAGCCTTTCATACACATTATTAAGCTCCGAAGGATACAATCCAAGATCCACCGCCGAGTGTACCGAGTTGACAAGGACATTTTTTCGGTTTCTTCAGAAGAACGAGCGGGACTTGAGACCAAAATGGGACAAATTAGAGCCGAACTCGATGAATGGGTGAGGACAGTCCCCCATCATCCGACAAAAGGCGCCGGAGCAATAAGCTGGATGTACGACCCAGAAAGCGCCAATCATGACTCGAGAGATTTCTTCATCTTGTGAGTGTTTATGCCATCCTAATCTGGGCCATGACACCGAATGCTAATCGGGAGCTTAGGCAGTACCACAAGTCGGTCCTATCGCTCTACACTGTTTTCCTTCCAGTACTTCACACCTCTGACTCGAGATTCCTCACTACCGCTCGATCCGCCGCCCGCGTTTGCAGGGCATACAAGCGACTAAACCAGCAGAAGACGCTAAGCTACACCATGATGGCATTGCATTCATGTTTCATTGCCGGCTTGACGCTTGTATACTGTTTATGGCGGGAACATGCTCTCTTCTCGTATGACACGCTTGAAGCCACGAGGGCGTGCTCTCAATCCCTCACCATCTTCGGTGAGAAGTTTCACGGTGCGGTGAAGTATCGTGACATCTTTGATGCCCTCTCGGGGAGTCTGTTCAAGACAATCGTTAGCCCGCTAGCAGGTCCTGGTGGGGGATCACAGCCTCTAGATGTGGACTTAGGAGCGAATCCAGTAGGCGACCGATTGATGTCGCCGTCGGCAACTGCACAAGAAGTGCACGTGGCCATTGAACGGAGCAGCGAGACCGGGGAAAAGTCATCCATGGCCCATGCTATTTCCGACGCCGTGAAAGAGGCATTTATGGAGGTAGATGAAGAAGCACCGGGCGGTTGGCAGGGTTGGAGGATGTTCAACGAAATGGTGCAGCCTGACCTCAAATCTACCCACAGCCCGAAGAAAATTGATGGAGGAGACAGACCGCACGGCAAAAGTAATGGTTTTGAACTTGAGTTGGAATTCACAAACGAGCTTGAGCAAGGGGCTTACTTGAACTTGATGGAATCTGACTTGGACTTTGGCGAGTTGTGAATGGTGAGCTGAATACCTACCTCGGTTCTGAAATCTCATTGTGGGAGCTTCATCAATAGGTTACGCTGATACTTGCTTACGTGCGTGATCTCCTTAACACAAGCGTTTGCATTCTTCAATTTGCTGCACATCTTCGCAGAGTTGCAATTGATTGTTTGATTTGGCTCTTAGGATCTGTGATGCTCGCGGTTGAGGTTCTAAGACTCATCCAACCTCGTCATGTCTTCGCCGGAGTTCACGAGGCTTAAATTACTTAACTGCTCTACTCCGCCATACCTATCTAGTAGCTTAATTAGATCTGGATACATCTTGCAAGCAGAGGAGCACGGAGGGTCAGGTAGAAAGTAAGGATCCATGGCATATGTGACGTTCGGCGTCACTCAGCCTCACCTTAAGGCTCGGGAAGCGTGTCGACCTTTTGCGGTTGTCGACGTCTCTCTCCACAAATTCCCCGTGAAACATTGCAGCTGGAGAGTTATCTTCTTTAATCTATGATTGAGTTCCTCTTTTTATCGCAACTCTGCAACTGGAAGTGAATACCAGGCATACTCGTCTCCTGTCGGGGCTGTTCTCATGCACGCTCGCCTAGCCCTCTGATCCACAAGTTGCGAATAGCCTCCAATTCTCCATCGGCTGATTAGTCATCACCAGCGGGTCGGTTAGCTCAGTTGGTTAGAGCGTGGTACTAATATTTCACCAGAAATGTTGAGTAATGCCAAGGTCGGGAGTTCAAGCCTCCCACTGATCATTCTTTTGCTCCAACTCGAATTTACAAGTTTTTGGGCTGCCTTTTCATAGACTCAGCATGTTCTCGTACCTGAGAATATGTCACTAGGTAATTCTTAGACTGTTGAGGAGCAGGTTGAGGAGAAGGGAGGTGGTGGAGCGGTCTAGGAGACAGATTCGATTAAAAGGAAACGAAAAGTGTCGAAAAAGCTTTCATGAATCGTCAAAATATACAGACCCTATCAATACCATCCACCTGATCTATCATGGTTCTATGCTAGCTGGCCCTTCTTGTAGGGATACTTGGCCTTGAACGCCTCTGCAATCTCCGTCCTCGTAGCAACCCATACGCCCTCCTTCTTCGCAATGTAATCCACAAAGTCCCTCAGCGCAGCCAGTCTCCCCGGCCGACCAACAATACGACAATGCAGCCCAATCGTCATCATCTTGGGCATCCCCTCCTGACCCTCCTCATACAACACATCAAAGGCGTTCTTTAAATGCGTGTAAAACCCTTGCGGATCGCGGAACCCAGAACCCGTGACGTGGAACTTGAAGTCATTACAGTCATAGCTGTACGGCACCATCAGACACCCCTTTGGATCAGCCTTCTCCCGCTCAGTGGGCAAATCAATCCAGTACGGCACGTCGTCGGCATATGTATCACTCGCCCACACAAGATCCTCTCCCATCTCTTCATATACCTGCGGCACAAGTGTCCTCGAGTGCGGCGAGTTGCGACCGTAGTACCACCCCTTGGGCGCATACCCCGTCAAACTTTTGAGCGAAGTGATACACTTTCGAATGTACTCCTTCTCCGTTCCAATCGGCACGTCATGGTAGTCAATCCAGCGGTAGGCGTGCGAGGCCACATCGTGACCCTCTTCCACGCACCGTGTCGCGACCTCGGGCTGCTCCTCGACGGCCTGAGCGACGGCGTAGAGGGTGAACTTCATCTTGCGGGAGTTGAAGAGGCGGAAGAGGCGCCAGAAGCCCGCGCGGGAGCCGTATTCGTATTCTGACTCAACGCTGTAGTTGCGCTCGTTGTACTTTGCGGGGCCCATGGGGTTCTCGCGGAGGTTGGTTTCCGAGACGCCGTCGCCTGCTAGGACTGACCGTTCGCCGCCCTGTTATGGGGGTATGTTAGCTGTCGTACTTCTTCGTGTCCATTCTTCTCGAATAGCGGTGGGACTGGGAGCTAAACGAACCTCTTCATAGTTGATGACAAAAGAGACTGCGATCTTCGCGTCGTTGGGCCATGGGCAGGCCAGACCTTTCTCGCCGTAACCCTTGAAGTCGCGCGGGTAGCCATAGTCTGGGTGGGCGTGGTATGCTTCCGGCATGATGAAGAATGATTTGTTGATCAGATCAGACGACCAGATCCTTGGGGTTCAGTAATGCTTCAAGAATAGGTCAATGGCAAAAGAAAGGGTGCAAATGTTGAGTGATACGCCGTTCACATCTCGAGTCAACGACCTTAATCAAGTGTACAAATAGCAAGACCAAGACTGCGATCGGCCAGAATCAACCGGCCCATCGTCCATCGGGCGACGTAGTCCGCCATTCGTGGTGCATTATCGCGGCTATCTGCACTGAGCAAAGAAGTCTGCAGACAATCCCTCCCTATCAGGGCTGATGCCTTCATTCCCCAGCTCATTGCAGCGTGCAGCGCGTTATCACATCGCCGTCGCGCGAACGCACACATCTCGGGATCTGAAGGGGGCAAGGATGCAAACTGTTGGAGGCGTTACATTTAACAGGGATGATCACCCTCCATCGGATGACATCGAAGCGTTGGAGTACTTCGGAGATTTTGGTCGACCCAGGGGTGGTGATAAGGCGCGGGGTTCTCGACGGGGTTTTGTTGGCTGTGGGGATGCTGTTGATAACAAGGTTGATCAAGGGGCGCGAGGGTATGCATGTTGATGTAATGCCCAGGCCTATCTCTGACCGGAGTCTTGACCAGGGATAGCTTGAAAGGCGTAGATGGCAAGTTTGGCATTGAGTTGCGGGATGGGAGTTGAGCTGACTTCCGCTGCTCCGCGATGAGATGCTCGGCAAGCCAATCGGATATCCGCACCCTAAGGAACTCTATGAGAAGCCCCGAGCTCGTTGTAAAGTGAGAAGCCTGTTCAACGCGATTCTCTGTGACATCGATCATGAACCAAGTTCATCAAATGCCACTCATGCTATGCTGACCCATCGCCCTGTCTTTTTGAGTGCCTTATGCTGCATGCAAGTTTATCTTCACCAATTCATCCATGCTCCTAATTCCCACTCGCCTTCTCTTGATCACTCATCGGAGGCTCTCCCGACACCCCATTCGGACCTTCCGAAGCCTCCTCAGACGGCGCCGGCTTCTGCGCCTTCAATCCCGTATTTCCAACCCCAAGAGTCAACACCAGGCTCAGCCCAGAGCAAATGACATAATACACAAAAATGTAATGCAAACCCTTCATATACGCCTGCAAAATCACCGTTCTCTCCGCATCCGAGAACCCCTTTTGGTCCAAGGTATATGTCGACGAAGTCAGTTCCGCAATCACCGCATCGGAAACAAAGTCTTTCCCGTGAAGATCCCGTCTCAGCGTGTTGGAGAGTATAACTCCCGAAATCACGAGCCCGAACGCGCCTCCAATAGTCCGGATGAAGTTTCGTAACCCTGTCGTGACGGCCCGGTCTTCAGCGCGGGAGTTGGCATACATGCCCACCAGCGTAGGCTGCAACGTCAAGCCTATCCCCGCGCCCATGACCACGAGGATCGGGATCATCTTTCCTAGGCCTGTATCGCGGTCAAAGAGGATCGTGAGACCATTTCCCAGCGTCCAGAGGAAGAATCCTGCGAGGATGCAGGGCATGTAGCGTCCCACTCGCAGCATGTACTGCCCAGACAGTATAGACAGCCCCGAAGTCGTGATGATGACAGGGAGAATAAGCGCCCCGGAAACAAGGGGCTCATAGTTGAGGATGGACTGGAAGTAAATCGGTAGGTAAAACAAGTTACCAAAGTACGCCTGGCCCATAAGGAAAGTCTGCCCAAACAACGCGCTGCAATGCGGCGCATGATATAAACGCAAAGGCATGATGGGCAGCTTCGCCAGCTTCCACTCGTAGAGCACAAACAGAACCGCAAGTACGGCACCCACGACCACCCCGGCGATGACAAAGGGCGAGGACCAAGGGTATGTCACGCCGCCTCCTGACAACGGGATGAGAAGGAGCAGCGTCGAGGCCATGTTGAGCGCGATGCCGCCGTAGTCAATCTTCTTGATCTTTTCACTGTAATTACCCGATCGGTGCTTGAGTGGGAGACAGAAGAGGATTGTCACGGCGGCTGGGGCGCTGATAATGGGGACCATCCAGAAGACCCATCGCCAGGTCGACTCTTGTACGACTGCGCCGCCCACAAAGGGGCCGACTCCATTTGCAAGGGCGAGGACGGCGCCGAGAACGCCTAAGTTGAGTGTTAGTTCCAGTCAAGAATCCATGAGAACGATGTTAAATCAAGACTTTGAAACTTACCCTGATACTTCCCCCGATTCTCCAACGTCGTGATATCACTCACAATAATCATAACAATACTATTAATCCCACCCCCTCCAATCCCAGCAATAGCCCGAAACGCAAAAAGCTGCTCCTTCGTCCTCGAAAACCCACAAAGCACATCCCCAACAGCCATCAACACCAAACAAATCATCAACAAATTCTTTCGGCCAAAGATATCAGACAACCGCCCATTGATGAGCTGGAACGCCGTCGACGCGATCAGAAAGGACGTCCCGATCCACGAGGTGGCCGTTCCTGTGTCGAGATCCTCCGCGATGGCGGGCACGGCGGTAGAGACGCTGGTCTGGTCGATGAAGGAGACGAAGAGGCAGACGGAGAGGGCGGAGAAGGCGAGGAGCATGCGTTTGCGGGACATTGTGTTGCGTTGGCCGCCTATGCTTTCTGCGTCGGTGTCGTCTTTGGGTCGGGGGCGCCCGACCGAAACTGCTTGGTTGATGACATCTTCGTCGCTGGAGGGTGAAGGCGAGCGTAGGATCTGTTGTGATGGATGCGTTTGTGAGATCTGCTTGGTTTCGGTGATGGGTGCATCTTCCTTCATCTTGATAACCTCAACCTTGATCTGTAGGTTGTGAAATCCCTAAGAAAAGGTCTTGGCTCGAAATACAGTCCAAGAAATGTCGACGAAGTCACAACTCTAGACGGATCTCCCAAACTTCGGTGCCGAGTCGCCGGTTCTCACTTCCCCGGGAGGGTCTGGGGTTAGCATCGGACGCACCCGACGAAATGACTTGCCTGCCGGGAGTCCATTGCGTCAATCACAATTGATCCGTTCACCAGAAATCCTCAACGACTCTCCCATTCTGGCTCAAATGTGGGCGATCCACCCTGGATATGTCGGCACAGGGGCAGGCGAAGATTGGGTGGCCGTCGTCGCCGATCGCACGTCCGACTTTCTTTGTCGGCACGTTTTGTGCCGATACGCATCCGCAGTGTCGGCTGTGTTCTGTTTCTGAAAGGCCTTCCAGTCTTCTAGGCCCCAAATGTTCTCCTGGGTGTGCGCTGGGCTTATGTGGGCCACATTAAGGCCAGCGTTGTGAAAATAATCCCTTCGTGTCGGTGTCGATGAGGATTCAACTCTGCTGAAGGCTGCTGGAGACGATGTTGATGATTGCGATGGGTGAGTAAGGCGCGGAAGTCGACTCGGCTTTCATCGGCATGGGTGTCAGAGAGAATGGACTGGGATCAGTTGCGCTAGCGAAGGCGTCGATGACGGGATACTGCTACGTCTTTGATTTTAGACTCTTCCATCGCATCTACCTTATTTTGACTTGTCATGATAGCTTCAAAACTTTAACTGCATCTAGTCGATTTCATCTACATCAGCTAGTCATGTCAAAGCTATTTACCCCGTTGAATATAGGGCCTATCCAGCTCTCTAGCCGACTAGCCCTGGCGCCGCTGACAAGGTACCGCGCAGACGATGAATGGACACCGACTCCAATGATGGAGGGTCAGCATACATCCCCATCGTCTCTCACCTCGTTCACTGTCTGACGTTTGAGGACAGAGTATTACGCCCAGAGAGGCTGCGTACCGGGGACTCTGCTCATCTCTGAGGGAACCCTCATCTCGTACCGCACCGCTGGGCGTCATAACGTCCCTGGCATCTGGAATGAAGCGCATATTGCAGGCTGGAAGAAGGTCACAGATGCCGTGCACGCCAAGGGCTCGTTCATCTACTGCCAACTCTGGCACCTCGGTCGGGGTGGCAGAGCTGAAGTCCTCGAATCCCTCGGGCTACATCTCGAGTCTTCAAGTGCGATACCCGTAGCCGACGGCGCTGCTACCCCTCTGGAAATGAGCGAAAGCGACATACAGCAAGTCATCGAGGACTATGCGACCGCCGCGCGCAACGCTCTCGAAGCCGGCTTCGACGGGGTGGAGATCCACGGCGCCAATGGGTATCTCCCAGACCAGTTCCTCCAAGATACCTGCAATAAGCGAACCGACGGCTGGGGCGGCAGCATCGAGAAGCGTGCTCGGTTCCATATCGAAGTGACAAAGGCTGTCGTCAATGCCGTCGGCGCCGATAGGGTGGCCGTTCGTCTCAGTCCATACAGTGATTTTCAGGGCATGCTCATGGACGACCCAGACCCGACCTTTGAATACTTGGTCAAGCAACTGAAGCCTCTAGGGCTTGCGTATCTCCATCTCATTGAAGCTCGGATCAGCGGTAATGATGACACCGATTGTGGTGGACAGCGGACGGTGCGCTGGTTAATTGAGCTCTGGGACAACGCAAGCCCAGTCTTGCTTGCTGGTGGGCTGAATGCCCAGTCTGCAAAGGCAGCTGTGGACGAAACGTACAAGAAGTACGATGTTGCTGTTGTCTTTGGGCGGTACTTTATCTCAAATCCCGATCTCGTCTTCCGCATCAAGGAGGGTATTGAGCTGGACAAGTACGAGCGGACGTACTTTTATACCCCAAAGCTGCCAACTGGATACATCGACTACCCTTTCTGCCCTCAATTTCAGTTAAGTGCCAGGGGTTGATGCTGCATCGCGACTTCGGATAGACACGGCGGGATGGTAGGAAATATGAACCGGGTATCTTTGCCTAGATGTGAACAAATGCGAAAGTTTTGTATAATTACATTACGCCATTATTCAGAGCTGTCGTATCTCGTCCGCGTCAATCGTACACAGTGTAGACGTTCTCCAGTGGTGTCTGCGTAAAGGACCTCAGCCACGCATGACTAGGTCTGGCTTGTGGCACCACCCCGGATCTTGATCGTCGCTCATTCTTCGCTTACAGTCCCAAGTCGATGCTGCGAGCCAAATCTGGTCTTCGTCCGCAGTAGAAGACTCTTACTGGACCGGCTCTTCAAGCCATCATCATCACTACTCCCCGAACCGTCGCTTCTGGTCGATCGAAGTTCAAAGGAGCTGGCTACTCTCCTAATCTTGTCTTTCAGCATGCGCAACGAGCCTCGCTTCTTCAGCGCGACAGGCTGCGGCACTGTATCAACGACAGAGAGGGCATTGCCAAGCGACTGACTTCGAGCGTGGCCGGAGTGGTGCGCTGTGGCTATCGGATCCAACTCCAGGGGTTTTGACGACAGGACAGACACTGACGCTGCGCGACGAACATGCTTTTTAGGGTAGAACATGCTCAAGCTTGATTTGGATCTTTGCGGCTGAGCTGATAATGACGAGACTGTCGTGATCGTGCCCAAGTTGGCATGAGTGATGGCGGGGTTCGTCCGCTGTTGCGCAGCTTGCAGGAAAAGGTTGGGCTGGCTTTTCGTCTGCTGAGCAGCCAGCCTCTGAGAGGGAACCGAAGCTTTTCCGAGAGTGTTCCTGGCTATTGGACCCCCAAGCGTAGTTCTACGGCTACCAGATGATAATCCATTTGTGTTCGCTGTCGGTGTCGACTTCGTGCGGGTATGTGTCCGTTGCCGTTCGGAGCCTGTCGAAAGTTTGAATTCTCGTTGCGGATGTAGCGGCTCCTCGCCGATTTCGACCGCGGCAGGCGTATCATCTATCTCGAATCGTCTCCCGGGGCGTCGTTTGGCCCGTAATTTCTTGAGATACTCCTCCGATGTCACTTCGCGGAAATTCATCTCGGCTGCGGCTCGTTCGGCTCGTCGTTTTGCCTGCCTGTGGAGGTGGGCAGCTTCTTCTGAAGACAAAGCCATCGTGGAGGTTGGACAGTAAGGACCTTGACTTGAAGGATATGTACGTCGGGTTGGGTCGTGGGCTTCGCAAGCTCCGACTAGGGATACGTCGAGGATGTGTTGTAGGGTATCATGGACTCGTGTTCGACTTTCTTTGTTGTGTTCAAGTTCTCGGTTTGCAAAAAAGCATTCTTGTTTTTTGTGTCTCCAATCGTCCCGTCCTTGTTAAACGGCCGTCTCCCGATGCGTGGGAGTTATCACTTCCATTTACTCGAGGCTGGGCGCATTCCAGAGGTGAAGAAGTTCGAGTGGATCTGGAGTGGAATGTCTCGCTTCGAGGCACGCAGACCTGGCGGGGGGGGGGGGGGTGGTCGGTCACGGTAAGAACGCTACAGCAAGCGTGAGAAATAGAGCTTTTCAAAGCCTGAAACTCTAGTCGTAATCGCCGTCTCTGTTCGTCTAGGAATCGTACGAAGAGGGTTTGCTTCTCGCTACGTTGGGAATGCGCAGCCTCCTGAAAGGAAATTTACCTGCGACGCCGTGGTGCTGGGGTCTTCTCCGTAAGCCTCCGAGCGAGCCGCGCCGGTGAATCCTTAAAAAAAGAGGTGGTGCCTTGCAACTCAGAGAAGGAAATTGCAATGTGCCATGTCGACGTAGCGAGGCATGCAAGGGTTTGGACTTCAAACAGGTGCTGCGAATATCTGCAAAGATCTGTCTGCGTGTGTTTGGAGCTGTGTCCGGGGCAACGTCGAGAAGGTCGATGGTTGAAGATGGGATGGCCCCGGCAGAAAGGAGGAGCTTGGGGCAGGATGGCGATCACCGGTTGGTGATGGTGGCAGGAGCGGGTACCTTTGTGGGCTGCATGGCTTACATCCATAACCCCTTATCTTTGCATGTTGGGTACTGGCATAGTCCCCGATACCACGATACCAGCCCTTTACTCAATGCTTCACCAACAGCAACGACATCGCCAACAAGATGATAGGGGTGATCATGTCTCTTATTCAGGTTCCATCCTCCATATCTAGCTAGCGACACAGAAGCCTCAGCCTTTTGGGGGCCTCCACTGAGAGCAGACAGGTCACCCAAAGCACCAGGACGGACAAAAGATATTTGTAATGTTTTCCAATTTGTTTGGCATGCCTTTCTATATGTGCCAGTATCTGGTCATTATGCATAAAATTACAGTGTCATCAAATCATTCCTCAGAGATCTTGGCTCGGGATTTCTTTACAACTTGGCCGCATCCTTGGGGTTCTTGATCTCGACAATCAGCTTGCCCGTGTTGATGCCCTTGTACAGGTCGACGAGACCCTGCTCCGCCGCCTTGAGACCTCCCTTGACCACCGTCTCCTTGCGCTTGATCTTGCCCTCCTCAAGCCACTGCGCAAGCTCCTTGCGCGCCTGGCCGTACTCCTGCACAAAGTCGAAGACGATGAAGCCCTGCATCTTGATGCGCATGGTGATGATGTTGGCGTAGTTCTTGGGGCCCTGCGGCGTCGCAGAGTTGTACTGGCTGATACCGCCGCACATGACGAAGCGCGAAAACTCCTTGGCACGCGCCAGCGCCATGTCGAGGATCTCGCCGCCGACGTTGTCAAAGTAGACGTTGATAAAGTCGGGCGTGGCCTCCTTGAACTTTTGCTTGAACTCGGGGTCCTTGTAGTTGAGCGCGACGTCGAAGCCGAGCTCTTCCGTCAACCACTTGCACTTATCGTCCGAGCCGGCGAGACCGACGACGCGCGCGCCCTTGAGCTTGGCGATTTGGCCGGCGACGCTGCCGGTGGCGCCCGCGGCGCCCGAGACGACGACGGTTTCGCCGGGCTTGGGGTCGCCGACGCGGAGCATGCCAAAGTAGGCCGTCAGGGCGGTCATGCCGATGCCGGAGAGGTAGTCGATGGGCTGGGAGACGGCGGGGAAGGAGGAGACGGGCTCGACGCGGCTATCGTGGACGACGCTGTACTCGGCCCAGCCGCCGAAGGAGGGGAGGACGTCGCCCTCCTTGGCCTTGGAGGACTTAGAGGCGAGGACGCGGCCGACGGTGGCGCCGCGCATGACTTCGCCGATTTGGACGGGAGGGAGGTAGGAGCGGCGGTCTAGATGGAAGTTTGATTAGCACTTGTCCCCGCGAAGATGATCATGGCAGAGTGTAAAGGTCTCGACATACCGTTCAACCAGCCACGCATGGCGGGGTCAAGGGAGAGGTACCAGTTCTCAACGAGGATCTCGCCATCCTTGAGGTCCTCAGCCTTGGGGATAGGCTTCTGCTCAGTCTTGAAGGTCTTGCCGGGGATGATCTCGGCCGTGGGACGCTCGGCCAGCACGACGGAAAGGTTTTGTTGCGACATTTTGGATATGATGTTGTGTGGAAAGAGGAAAGGGTATCAAGGAAGACGAATGGTATGTATTTGAGATTATAAGCAAACACCACAGAATACGAGACAACTGATTCACAGAGCCTTTCCAAGTCGGAGGTAGAGGAGCAGAGGGAGCTCTTTTAGTAGTCGGGACATTCAGTCTATTTCGCAAACTCTGAAATCGCCCGTTTGCTTTCGTGTCCCACGTTTCCTCCGCCGCTTTCGCGGATTACACTTACCCCTCCAAGCTTCCTGGCCGCGGTCAAGCGCGCGGTGCCAGCGGTGGACGCTTGGTGCGTGAGTCGCTTGCACCGAGTTTTTGCCTTTGGCTCATGTCATGACTTCATGCCCCGCGCCGGAGCAGGATGACCAAGACGGGACATTGGCCCGCACGAGCTCCGAAGGACTCGACGAGCTGGCGAACGATCGAGGAATGTTCTCCGGCGCACGGAGCATGGGCTAGTAGGGATGGGGCCTGGAGGCTCTCTTTTTTTTTTTTCCTCTGCCTTTCACTTTGCTTTGTGTCTGTCCCCTTTTTCGAACAGTCGACGCACCACACGGTGATACGGTACCACAGTACCACGGGTACACAGATTGTCTACCTAGCAGACTTTCGGATGCAGAGTGGTGGATGGATAACCCAAGATGGGTGTGTGGGTGTGGCGTGTGGCCGATTTCCCCGGAGTGGCCGCCCGAACAACAAATGGAGTCGGAGGGTCTTTTCCCACCGGACGTTTTCTTCATATGGGTTAAGGAGGGGCTGGCGGGCTGCGGGCAACGCGCGACCCTAGCTAGACTGCTTCTGCTCCGAGGGGCAGGACACAAGGTCGATACTCGATATGAAGGTGGCAGGTCGCAGACTCTCTCGCTCCAGGAGTTCAGGAAGATTTCCGTACCAAAAGGCGGCGGATTACTGCGTCTGCACTGTCTGCATCTGCGTCCGCGTCCGCGTCTCGTCTCGTTCCCGTGGTGGAGCTAGATAAAATCGGGCATGACGACATGCCGAGGCTTGAGACAATGGCACCTCAACTTGTCATCTCTTGCTCAGCTCTCTGCATTGGGCCTATCAGATCTCTCATCCTGTCGGAGGCTCTGAAGACATGGCGGGACATTATCTCCCTTGAACTCTGGAGCCTTGGACGTCGGAGGATTCGAGAGGCACCACTGGACAACACGCAGGCGGCGTTGTCATCAGCCCCTCGCCCATCGCTCGGTAGTGCAACTGACAGCTCTCAGGGTCCCCCGGAAGCGAAGCTGCAATGCTTGCGATTGCGGCCGATGCGACCATGCGGGAACGGGGACGTCGGGAACGGAGATGTGCTGGGGTGCTGGCCGTTGACCGTTCCATTGATGATCCCAAAAGGAGGGTCGCGGGGTGGGTTGAGTGTTCGAGAAGCGGGTTTGGGGCGGGCCAAGGATGTGCAATGCCGTCCGGGCTTAGAAATGCTGAAACTCAAAAGGTCCAGAGATAATCGGGATTATCATTCACCTCGTGTCGGGGCTGTCGGGGTTGAATCCTCGTTCCTGAATTCTCGCAGCTATCTGTATTCGTAATACTCCGTACGTGCAGATACTGGCGTGACTGCTGAGCTGTCTATTTGGCTGGCACCGGACGCGCTACTAATCATCGCCAATCGAAAAAGGCCCTGCGAGTGCGAGATGGATGGAACATGGTGAGGTTGGGCGAGTCCCGATTGGACGCCATCGCCGTCGTCCAAGGCGGCTTTGAAATGGGAGTGGGCGAGCCGAGGCAATTCGTGGGGAATGAATTCTGTGTGCCCTTTGCTTCTTTTGGCTTCACCGACGGTCGAAGCTCCCAATTCGGCCCCGTCCGGACCTGCAGTTCGGCCGGCCGGCGAATAATCCTTCCATGTAGTTCCAGATCGCCCAATCAGGCTGATGTGTCAGCGCCCCGCCTGAACCTCGGGACCCATCAGTTTTCTGACCGAAGTTTACCGAGGAGTGCCCACAATCGCGACCTTGATGGCTCGGTCATTCTCGGTGAGACTCGGTGAGGTAAATCGCTCAGGGATATCGCATCGTGTTTCTTTGGGTTAATGTCGTAGTATTGAACGAAGCGCGTGCTTACCAGATGGAGTCAGTACGCAGAGAAGTGCTTGAACAGATGCACTGACACCATTTAACAGATTATGGGATAGTATCGCCAAATGTAGTTGTATTAAGAAAGACCCTATGACATGTTGCTTACCTCCCTGGTCCACCTAATTGACTGACCACTAACTTCGCAAGAAAATGTCAAGCATTTACATAGAAGGTCACACCCTTCTGTTTGAAGCCCTTCGTGAGATAAATCAGATCCTTCTCATCAATCCTAGGCCAATCACTCATCAAGCTCTGCTTCTCTTCAAAGGTGTCAAGTTGATGCACGAACGGATTTGTGCAGCTCAAACAAATCTCGCGGAGGTTTTTCATACATGTCGCCTCGAGAGCTTTATCAAGCAAGTTATGAGGTGCCTATTTGTCCCCGAGATTTTGAGCTTCTTCAAGCTGAGAGGTGGCATTTCTAGTAACAGGTACCCATTTTCATCGGGGGCCATGCACTTTGGGGGTCCAAGTACCACATCTTGACAAAGATGAACCTCTTCAAGATTCCTAAAATGCCGAAGCGATCCGATAACATTCCTTTTTGCAAGCTTCTCCTGCATGCACTGATTACGATTGCGGTATTACACATGCGTCGGTGCGCACTGACCCTCCCACCCAAACCATAGTCCGATAACCAAATACTTCAGGGCTTTAGGTACCTTTATGCTGATTTGATCAACTATTTGACGTGGGGTGATCTCCAAATCGAGGTTCCAGTTGTTCCAACTCAGCTCTTGGATGATGCTACCGTCGGGGGACTCGTCCCGACTGAAGATGAAGACCTCTAGCGATCTGCAGCACTCAAGCAGGAGGCTGAAAGAAGTTGCGAACATGAATCGGCAGTTTGTTAGCTTTAGGCGTCTGAGATGAACCAAGGTTGGGTAACCGTGACAGGGCACGGGATCGTTGAAGAACTTGAGTTGTGTGATGCCGTGAATATGAAGACTGGTGATATTCGGAAGCTTGCCAATCAGTTGACTGCCACCCCACGCGGGAGTAAGGTCAGTTGATACAGCCTGGCCTTCTGCAGAGCAAGCGCAGAGAAATCGGAGACTCTTGATCGACTTGTAGACAGGCCAGACTTGGAAGCGGGGAAGTGAATCTTGGCGTCCTTGAGACGAGTGAGAACACTCGACGATGATGTCGAGCCTCTCGAAGTTTGGTAACGATGCTAATGCTCTTGGTATTGATGGGTGTAAGTCCTTGGGGCAAACACAGTGGCGTTATCAGGGACAAAGCCATATACACCAAAGAAAGAGATTGGTCTCAACGTATCGAATGTCGGCCAAGGAGCCGCCCCTATGGGCCTACTGGATTTCTCGCTGGCGAACCAGGGCATCGTAGGTGATGGGATCCGAGAGGCGCTTGTGATATAAGCTGAAAGTATGTCGCAAGTGTGGTGCGACAAGGTACCGAAACGTTTTGCATGTCAAGCTTACGTTCTCGAGGGCACCACGCCCGGCCACTGTAGGCTCGCAGCCGTGATCGCACGACTGGCAAGACTGGCACAGAGCGTAAATGATATGTTCCACGATTTCGGATGAGAGGTTGAGGAGAGCTCGTGGTGTGATTTTATTGAGTGAGCCTGGGCCGCTTGAGTAGTATGTGTCTTGTGAGGTTTGTTCCATCTTGACGAATTGTGACTGTCGTTGATGTGTTCGAGTGTCAGGACTTCCGAGGGACTGTGTGACTCTCACTACAGTAGCTTTGGCGGCTTAGGAGATTTGAGGGAATCCTGGTGGTTTTTTATGACCAAGAGTGAAGTGAATTTTTGGATTCAATCAGGAATGCTGCGGTGGAAGACCATGGTGGAAGGTTATCAATGATCTGAAAGTCATGTAATCTCTGCGGAAAATCATGCATACCAAAGCCGTCTACGGAGAAAGAGGTCACCGTTGTTCAGGCTTCCAAAACGTACGCAGGGTTAAGAGGCTCATACATGGACACACTTAGCGCAAATCGTATTCCTGCCATTTCCATTGAATACTCGCAGTATGCGTCTCAGCTTTTCGCCGCGGGGGTAGGCCCCCGTCCTGAAAGTGTCATGAAGCTACAAGTCGAGGATTTGTAGGTACCAAATGGGTTTAAGCTAACTTGCCTGCTGTTGCTACTATTCCTCATACCTCTTTCATTCCCGTTATGACTTTTCCCTCCCAGTATAGTTGTTAGAGAAGCTATAAAAAATAGAAGATTAAGTACCCGGGTTATGAAAGAACCTACCGCCATACAGAGGGTTAAGAACCGAAACGGTAGCTAGCTGCTTGATCATCACGACATTAACTCCGCGATTCCAAGTCGCTATTGCTTCCCCGGAGCGGTTCAGTCCACGGGAAAGAGAAATCTCGTTACGTTGCTACGGCGCAGGGTCAATGGCTCATTGCGCGATATCTCCTTCGGACCACCTTGCACTTGAGTGGTAGGTCTCAAACATGTTCCGATTGAGGCTATCGTTCGTGAGTTGCTCGATGACTCGCTGCCTACTACATTAGTTTGCCAACATGATCGGACATCATGTCACTTTTCGTTCAATTGAGTCAGTATTTCCTTGAGATCGATCTATCTCCGATACGACTGACATCTCACGAGCTGCGTATCGCCACAGAAATGAAGGAATCCAAATGAGAAGCAAACTTTGAACGTCAGGGTGTTTATTCTTTTGAATCTCTATAAAAACTCCCCAGACTTTGGCAACCTCGTATTTCAAACCCCAACCGATAGCCGAGTCAACGCACATCGGGCATCGTCTCAGGCTTACAATTTTTGGACTGATTCACCTGTAGATTTTCATTCACGCTTGTGAGCAAACAAGTTTCCTTATCGATTTCACCATTGTACCGCTGCCACGCTGTGCTTGTGAGTGTTTTTTCTCGTACCGTCGACTAGCCAGCTCCAGGAGCTGTATTCAACCCTTCTATCACAGTCGCCTGTTGTCTCGCACCTCGCAAATCCTCGTTCCTCCCTCCCTCTTTTTCACCCAGATTTGTCTCGACCAGGCCCTATGTTGCCTATCTCAATACAGCTCTCTATTGAACGACCCGTGAGGATAGCCCTAACTTTCATTTCAGCCTGTTTGCCCATCAATCGATCATCCTGTTCGCTTGACTATATTCGTTGTGAGTAACACAATAGTAGGCTTTGAATATAACTGGTATGGTACATTCATTCCGCAACCTCTTCAACTTTTACTCAAGGCTTGAATCACCTACTGACAAACTTTAGCCTCCATAAGATCCTCGCAATGGGAAGAACCAGGGGGGAGACTGAACCTCAGAGTCGAGGCTTTCGATTTATGGACGACCTCCCATACGAGATCTTGAATGAGATTGGCCTTCATCTTCCCGCAAAGAATACTCTATCAATCATTCGGTGCTCGCATAGATGTGCAGCTATTTTCGAATGGAGTCTTTACCGCCTAGACTCACTCAATGGCCACCAGGCCCTCATCTGGGGTGCTAGAACCGGCCGACTGAGTGCCGTGAAGATGGCTATTGCTCACGGAGCAGGCCCCCTCAGTCCTGCCATTTATCCTGGTTATAATGCTGGAGCTACTCTCCAGAGAGAGACTGCACTAAATGTTGCAATCGAGAACAACAAGATCAAGGTTGCACGATATCTCCTCCAGGCCTGCCACTCAATCGAAAACGTCTGGGCTGAGAAGAGCTATCTTCTTCACTCAGTCAAAGGTCCCAAGCTCATGGAAGCCCTTCTCGCCGGAGGGTTTTCCAATGGAGTCAATAGCTTGGGACAGCTAGGGACGTGGAACAACGATGACGTGACCCCATTAGTTGCGGCTATTGAGCAAAAACATCCTGTCAGCACGATTCGCACATTGCTGAAGTTCGGGGCCGACCCCAATTTGAAGAACGTTTCTTCAATGCGCCCGAATGTGTCTGCTTTTCATATTGGACTCTGGAGCGATCAAGCTCCAGTGGTAAAGACACTGATAGAGCACAATGCAGATGTAAACGAGGCCGATGGACCGGAACCGTGGTCGAAAACTCCTCTAGGTACCGTTCTTCAACAGGCCCGTTCGTTCTGTGATGAGATCGTAGCCTTACTTTTGCGCCATGGAGCTGATCCAAACCTGTCCACACGAGAACCCGGCGCTGGAGCGAACCCCATCATGCTCGCTACCTCCCCAGACGTCCTGCCTAAGACGTTTGCACGTCTCCTCGCCAAAGGTGCTCACGTTGATGAAAAAGTACAATTCGGACTTGAGCAGGTACTTCGGTCAACAAAAAGCGATGTCCTGCGGTGGGGCTCCACGTTTCCCGGTCAGGCTTGGCGGAACACAGATCATAAGCTTCAAATACTTCGTCAACATAGTGAAGGTCTGCTACAACAGATTCATTGGATCTAGACTGGCCACGACAAAGTAAAATAGCTAGCAATACAAGACCTCACGGCCAGCATGTAGTGCGACGATACAGACAAGAATGAGGATAATAGGCCCATCTGAGAGTAAGGTCTGAGGATTGTAAGGTTTGGTGCTTTCTGGCAAGTGGCAATACTGCTTCTTTCCGGCGTGGCCTGTCATAAGGTAGACAATGACGGAGGTAGTGCCAGGAGGCGACCTCTCGTAGCTTACGAATATAGACGACTTGTTGCCTCATCAATTGTCTGTAAGGTTCAAAGTCAGTCCGCAGATAGATACCTCGGGCTCCTGTTATACGAGATCTTTCGGTGTTCGTCTGCCCCTGCCCCAGTCCCGTCCCGCAGGCCGGCCTATTCCTGCATCTTGCGATGCCGCAACTTTCTTGTTCTCTTGTCTTATATTTCTTTCTTATTTGGCTGCCCGTAAATGATGGTGTATTAACTCTACTGCGCTGCTTTTAATCGAAGTCCTTACAACGGCTGTGTTCTCTACATACCTATTGTGATATACCAGTACCTTATATGACATGTCAAGAGGTTGAATTGTACGACGCTACAGGTATCCAAGGTACGTGTCATCGGTGACATCATGAGATGAATTGGAACCACATCTGTTGCGCAAACACCCATGCAGGACAGACGTATAAATATCAATACAAGCTAATGACTACATGTATTTTTCCCCCTTCCAAATTTGATGCCAAATAGAGAAAGGTCACGACTTAGGTCCGCACTTTGACATACACAATCAAACGCATTATTTTCTTGAGACACCGGAACACGGTTCATTGAGGACTTCTCCAGGTCTTAGCCTGTGCTTCAAGTAAGATGGCATGCCTTTCAGGGCATCCTCGTTCCTAAGTCCTAGACTTTACAGGCACTGGGAGTACCACTGGTTCGACGCCTGGCACGTGGACCCAGATTGGCAGCAAGTCGGTCCAGTAAAGCCAGATCCTCCGCATTGAGCCCATTTTGCAGCACACTAGCAAGGGGATAATACATCAGTAAAAGACGACTAGGGGTAAAGAGATGGGGCCTCACAGTTCCATCACCACCGCTGCTGGGCGGAGGGCTGGTCACAGGCGGGCTTGTGCCGCCGCCACCAGCATCTGATGCACCGACAGTGATTGTAGAAGAGCCGCTGCTGAAGTATCCTTCCGTAGCAACGATCATGTAGTCGTGAGTGCCGAGGTTCAGGCCCACCTGAGCCCAGGCATTGAAGTGATTGCCGGTCGTGACTGTTCCGCCCACGCGTTTCGTCTGGCGGACGGACCAATACTGCTGAAAGGTCTTTGTGCCGTCGATGGAGGGGGCATTAGTTCGCGTGCTAACGTAGATGTCGTAGATTCCACCATCACTGGTGACGGTTCCCTTCTTGGTAGCGCCGCTGGAAGGGTTGTAGGTACCGAAGGACTCCACGATGTAGTACTGCGTAGGAAGGTTAGCAGATGTTAGGGTTGGTCAAGAAATGTCAGGCAAACCTCTATCAGGGGGTTTCTAGTCCAGCCATAGATCGCGAGGTAGCTGTTGCCGTTCGGGTTATAGCTGCCGGAATACGTGATAGTTCTGAAAGATAGGGTGTTGTCAGTAGCGTGCTCGAGATTTGACCCGGGTAAGCATGGGACGATTGTACCTCGGCCCACCGGGATTCCAGCCTTTGCCTCCGACAAAGTTACCACCAGTTTGCCAGACGACGCTGTATTGGCCCCCTGCACCATTGGTGTAAGTAACTTGAGATCCACCGTCAGTCCACCAGGAGTAATAGTAGCCGTTGTTTGTTCCAGTAGACGAAGGAGTTGACTGGCGCTTCATCAACTCTCCAGGAGCAGAGAGAACACTAGCCACGGAGGCGAACGCCAGGAAAAGCGAGTTGACAGTGACCATGATGACTTGATTGCTAATGTTGTCTGTCATTCACGCTGGCGATGTTTCAGACGAAGGCGAAGTCTGGGGCTTTATATCTGTAGCATGATGTGCCAGTCTCGGTATCGGTCTACAAAAGTGACTCAATAACGCCGAATGTAACACACATTTCCCCTCCCAAATAATGGTAGTGGTACCGCCGCGCCATTGAGTTAAACTCATGTGCCCCTGGCAACCGATCGGGTATCGTCCTTGGGTTCAAGACGGGTGCAATGTCACTTCGTTCTATCTCAGGATCCCTTAGACTTCAACCGGAACCGATTCCTTGGCATCGGTCTAAGTACGAGTTAGATTAACCTGGTTGAGTTTTTTTCAGCTGTCTAAGTCTGTACCAACAACATGGTGTTTGATATCTGGTTTTCCCTCAACATATGGCAGACATCTCTCTTATTCCTTTGTTTCTCTCTGATTTGGCATTGTTTCTTAGGTGGTGCCAAGACAGATTTGTACATTCTCAAGTCCGTAGAGCAGTACCATGTACCTGGGAAAAGCCTAGGTGTGGGATATCGCGGTGATGCATCAGCTTTCAAGGGAGGTTGAAAAAGGAAGTCGGAATATCTAGGCCGTGTCCAAATTATAAATATGGCGAGCTATTTAGAAGAGCTGAGTTGATTAATATGGCAAATAGCAATTTAACCGGCGGCAAAAAGACGAGAGAGGTCGCCTGGTTGACATTTGCTGTCGAGCCTCCTGATCTGTGGGGGTCCTGAAAATAGCCGGGCGTAGGTCACGCGACGCACAGTTGCACTGAGATAACCTCAAGATATCAGTCCTTGGTTGTTACGAAGCCTTGATTACGAGAATCAGATACCCTCCACGATACATCTACTCCGTGAGTACCACGGAGCGTCGCCGGTGACTTCCGCTTCCATTTTCGGCTAGCAGCGTGTTGTATTTTGATGCAGTCTTACTCTGCGTCAGGCTATCCGATTTAATGGCAGGGCTCAATGCCATTATCTCGATCTCTCAATAGAGAAATTGAGATATCTCGGCCTATATGCTGTAAGGCATGCAGGAGAAGCCCATCTGTCGGGCCCGAGGCCGTGCGGGGCCGAAGGTCCACTTCGGCGAGGATCATGCCCGTGGTAGACCCAAAAGTATCCGCTCCGAACGAATACGGAGGGCAGAAGTTCATAGATGGTGGCCACTGTTAGATTTATCCGGCCGAAGATTGCGAAATCACAGTTTCAGGCTCGATGTATGCGTAGAAGCATTCTCTCTGCCTTCATCGGTACGTTCATTTTCAATTTGACGCTTCACTGTACGCGAACGCCCAGCTCACGTGGTCGATTGCAAAGTTGTAGATATGCTGATGTGGTCGGGGACTATCCAAAGACCGAGGTAGATCCCTCAGTCAAATGAAAGGTACGTGTGTTCCTTATGGTGTAGTATATCCTCGGGGCTCTTCGGTGTACTTGTCCATTCCGCATCCTTAAACTGACAAGCCAGCTGTGGGCTAAGCTCAGCTTCGCCACATCGAGTGAAATACGACATTGTTTGTTCAAATCGGTCTGATTGGAGGCTTGTAGCGCGTCAGATTTGAGACAAAGGGTCTAACCCCTTGACAATACCTGCGCCGAGGAGACTACTTTCACGGGTGGTACGCTGCTGGAAAGCGTGTTCCGACTCACGCAATAATCATAATCCCTTCCTGTCATGTTTATCGGTGTGCTCAAACGTCTGATCTAACTCCAAAGTATGGATGTCGCGTGTTGAACGACAGGTTCATTGCAATGCCTCTTCTGCTAATACTTAGTAAGGTATGGTAGCTAAGCAGTCAAGTGATGAATGTTCTCCAGTCAACACTCCACGCGTCCACATGTTAGCACAGCATACCGATTGCAGAAAGTCAGGATGTTACATTGACTTTCCGCGATTGTCATCATGAACATTTGTTTGCATGTAGCGAAGAGCGTCATCTTCTCGAACATGAAGTTACTTGGGATGGGGCCGGTCCCAGATCACCCCTACAAAAATCTTAAATACATCAATATCTATGGCGTGACGTTATAGAGGAAGCAACCTTACATGCCGATCTTACTGGTGTTCGCCGGAGATTTTGGCCTCTCGGAGGGGTGGTCCTCTATTCGCCTAGATGAGGACAGTACAGATATTCCAGTATAGACCTCAAAAGGGGCGAAACGGCGGAAATGTCCATCTTCAAGGGGATACTTCCGACATTACGTCAACCTTCGGGCTTTCAAGGAGGCCTTTTCCGTCAAGATTATCATACTATGGAATGTTGCAGCGTATCCAGACTGTTTACTCATCCAAAAGAATGGTCAGCGGCCGCAAAACCGAAGCAATCAGGGCGGCGCAAGAGTTGACTCCCCTGTTAACGGCAATAATTCCAGCCCGCGGCTCGGGTTCGTCACGGAAACGACTGCCTCATTGTCCAGAGAGAGTAAAAAGCGCGCGGCGCTAGACAGGCCTGACTCGACGAGCTGGGCGATGGACTGTCGCACAATTGGTGGGGGCGCTCGCAATGGCTCCATTTCCCCAGATGAATCCTAGTCGGCTACCCCGCGAATCCAGATTTCCCCCAAACTTCCCCGTGCTTCAGACCCGCCAGACTAGAGTCAAGAAAGTGTTACTGACCTATAGAAACAATGAGCAATGTCAGACGGCTGGAATTTCCTTGGATGTTAGACATCGAGATGAGGGCTTGGACAGTGTTCGCCTGGTCAGAAAAGGGCCAACCCCGCAACAGCTCTCCCCATGGGACGGTTGTAACCTGCCGGGAATCATCCCGTACGCTAGTACGACGTGTCTTGTCCTTGCTTTTGTCACTCTAGAACTTGAGTGTGAGCCTTCATCTGATACCTATCCCCAAGCGTGTGGTGAAGTTGCAAAGTCTATAAAGCTTGCCCATCCCACCGGTGTCGAGTTCGTAGACATGGGCAATATCTCAGAGACCCCCTCTCCAGTTGAGATCTTCATGTCCTGATAAGATCTTTAGTTGTAACTCCTTTCTTCTGATCAGAAATCCTCTAACCTACGGCCAACTTTCGCCATGGGATTGCCCGATGATTCCTCCAAGCAGGGCGTCCAGCACGTCGAGCAGAACAATGCAGTCAGCGACGCAGTCAAGGCCATAGAGAACCGTGACCTAGAGCGGATTGAGGAAACCAAGCCAGGTACCTTTGTCTGGCTCTGTGTTGCGGCAACCGCGATCGGAGGCATGCTCTTCGGCTACGATACTGGCGTCATCTCCGGAGTTCTTGTTGTTATCGGTCAAGACCTCGACAATAAAGACCTGACTCACTCAGAAAAGGAGTTGATCACGGCAGTCACCGCAGCCGGAGCCTTGATTGGCGCCGTCATTGCCGGTATTACTGCTGACAAGTACGGAAGAAAGCCTGCTATCTGGTTCGCCTCTATCCTCTTTACGATCGGTGCCCTGCTCCAGGCTACCTCTTTCACGATTGCGCAAATGACCGTTGGTCGACTTGTGATCGGCTTTGGTGTCGGCTCTGCATCCATGGTGAGCCTCTATATCTCTATGCTTTTCCGCAACAGACTTGACCGGGGTCCGTGTGCTAACATAGGTTGTTTTCTTAGATCGTGCCATTATACATCGCAGAGATTTCCCCTGCCAGATTCAGAGGCCGAATGATCTCAATCGACATGATCTTCCTTGGTGCCGGATCTGTGCTTGCGTACGCTTTCGCCGCAGCCTTCAATACGACCGCACACGGCTGGAGATACATGGTTGGAATCGGCGGTGTTCCTTCAATCATACTCGGTATTCTCCTTTTCTGGTGTCCAGAGTCACCTCGTCAACTCATGTTCCACGGCAACCGAAACGACTGTATCCGGGTTCTGCGACAAATCTACCCCAACGGCAGTGAAGATGAAATCGCGGACAAAGTGATCTCCATTGAGCGCGGCGTCAACCAAGCCAAGGTCCTCAACGAAGAAATTTCCCTCCGAAAGTCTGTCACCAGCCTATTCAAGGTCCCAGCCAACCTGCGAGCAGTTACCTCAGCTTGTGGCCTTATGGCTGCCCAGCAGCTCTGCGGGTTTAATACACTTATGTATTACAGTTCCAGTACGGTGCCATGAATTCTTATACACTGTGCTGCGTGTGCCATGCTAATCAGAGTCTCAAGGTTTATTCCAGATCGTCGGCTTCTCGAACCCCGTTGCTGTTGGTACCGTTGTAGCAGGCACCAACTTCATCTTCACAGTATTGTCAATCTTCCTTATTGACAGAATCGGCCGGCGAAGAATCCTGCTCTGGACGATGTGGGGTATGCCTGTCTGCCTTGCCGTTGCCGCCATTGCGTTCCACTGGATCCCCTTGGACAACAACACTCTAGAGCTGACCACCAAGGAAGTTGGTTGGCCCGCAACCCTGGTCCTGGTTGCAATGATCATGTTCGTGGCCTTCTACGCTGCGGGTTTGGGCTGTGTCCCGTGGCAGGCGAACGAGTTTCTCCCTATGGAAGTCCGAGCTATGGGGACCATGATGATCAACATCTTCAACTGGGGTCCGAACATCATCGTCTCTTCGACGTTCTTGTCAATGATGCGAGGCATGACCCCATCAGGCACGTTTGGTTTATACGCTGGGTTGTCTTTCTTGGGCTGGGTGTTTGTGATCTTCTGCTTCCCCGAAGCAGCGAACATGACGTTGGAGGAGATCAGGGTAGTTTTCGAGCACGGATTCGGCGTGAGATATGCCGAGGAATGGCGAAAGCAGAGGAAGCTCGATGTCCAAGCCCGGAAGGAGGAGAACACCGTGTAAAAAATAGTCTATGCGTTTCCTGTGTTCATCAAGAAAAGGTATCAAGGACTAGAAAATGGTTCAAAATTGTAGCCTGAAACTGTCGATTGTAGCGAGAATCTGAAAATGATGATCAAATTGACTTGGCCAAACGCAGGTTTCCAACTTCAATGCAGGAAACCCTCCTTGACAGTGTGCTGTTAATCACATCATGCTTCTCGCTCGAGTCAGATGAGTGTAACACTAGAGTGCTGCTACAAGCTCCCCCGAGTATTGACGTACGCTTCTTCGTAGAATATGTCGTAGTACGTGATCAGACGTCGATGGTTATGTTCCTCTGCAGCTCATTGCCAGTTGACGATAGTATCAGACCAAAGCCAACGATAAAGTTATCATAGCGACAGCTCTAATCTGGCTTCAACAGATCGCGATAGGCAAGAGATACTCTGCGATGGATACAATCTCACGGTCTCGACCAAGAAGGCAAGGATTTCTTGAATCACTTTGCCGAGATTGGGCTAACTTTGCTGCTTACTTCATCTGAAATTGACACAAAGCAAAAGCATGGCCTAATGCCCAAGCAGCATGATAGTCATGAAACATCCAGTAGACAGAAAGTTACGAGAAGGCCACAGTAGCCACCGCTCAGTCAACCACAAACATCCGGTCAAACTGGTGTGCGGCAGTGGCCCAGTGGGTATATCGTGAGTGTATTGGGGAATTAACACCCCCTAATAAAGTGGTGGAGATCTTCAGTCGGGAGTTTTCCACTCGACGATCTTCATTATTGATCGGGTTAAGCTGTTCGAAGCGCTCCTTGGCTCCAATTAAACAGATGCCGGACTGGACGAACAGAATTGCCTAGCACTTCAAGGGAAACTTGGCACTGAGTAGAAGAACAGGGGGCCTTTTCCAAGAAGTTCAAGTGTCGACCGACTCAGGCAGCTGCAATGCGCAAATGTAGAAGGATATCTTCTAGAAGACCCATTAGCAGGCGTAACTCCTGCTCTGAGCTCCAAAGACCCCATGCATGAACGACCTGCGTGCCTGAAGAAGGCTGGTAAAATAACCAAACATGAAGTCGAACATTTGGTGGCTGAATTCAACGCGAAACCAAAATCGATCTCAAGACTCACTCTATCATAGCTTTATCAGCGCGAACTTGAAGGTCGGAGAGCACTGGCCCAGATGGTTCATGGATGTGAACAAAATGACTGAAAAGTCAAGCTACGGGAACCATTTGCCAACGTTAGGTTGGTATGGAGAGAGCGGGCTCTCGAATACTGGAATTGAGGGATCAGCTAAGTCGGATGGCAATACGCCGAATGTTGAACTTGATAATGTTGCGCCGAACACTTGCTGTTGGTGAAAAGTACTGAAAATGATGACCGTTGAGTCCGGTGACTTTAAACGCCATACTGAGGCCGGCATTTATATCGTGGCGGGAGGAATCGGGAATCAATTAGTTGATGGAGTAGGGTTGACTGAATGCATCTGTATACCATGTTTCTGACCAGCATCATGGATAGAGCTCGATTTCATTACAAACATCACGCAGTTGTAATGATACGGGAGCTGAGGCAGTTCGCCTTTTCTCTCATCAAAGCAGCGACACGGAGTTTGTGTTTGAGGGACATACTACTTGAGTAAAGTAGGCTAGAGGATTCGGACTCTTTGTATTCTTGCTGAGGCTGATTGTTTACGTCCAGTCATGCACCCGTCTCATTAACTCATAACTCATGCAGCTATAGGTATCATATCCGTTCCAAATCTTAAACATCAAGAAGCGCCTTCCTGGGTTTCTTTGCCCTGAACAGCATCACCTGTCCAACAATCCACGTCTCAACCTCCTCGAACTCTTGATCCAACGCTTCTTGAATGTCCTCCTTCTTGTCGTCCCAGTTGTTGAAAACACCCCACCATTTGTTGTACCACCGGAGATAGAACTTGGTAAACCACCCAGTCGACTCATTTGGGCCCAGCACCGTGCATCCGGTCAACACACCTTCCGGGCTCAACAACTCCTTGTACAAACCAAATGCACGAAGCTTGGCCTTGCCGCCAGGCATGCAATGGAACAAATTAAACATGGAAATGGAGTCAAACCGCTCGCCGAGAAGCTGCTTCGGTGGCGGCTCCGTGACATCAGCCTCAACGCACTGAACCTCGGTGTTCGTCGTAACCGAGAGCACGCGGGTCTTTGCCGCGTTCAAAGGCGGCGCGGTGAGATCCAGCAGCGTAATGCGCTGCTTGCTGGTGGCGCGGAACGGCCGCGCCAGGGCGGCTGCCGGGAACCAACCCGTAGCGACGCCAATGTCGAGGTGGTTGCGGGTGAAGTTTTCGCTGAAAAAGGGGAGAAGGAGTTTTTCCGTGCTGCAGCCCCAGACTTTTGACATATTGAAGCCTAGGACGTACTTGTCGTAGAAGATTGTGAGGAATGAGGGCGAGTAGACTGCGCCATAGGCCGCAGTGCGGTCTGCGCCGAGATCGGCCATAGTTGACAATGGCACTAATTAATCGTGGGATTGAGTTAGAAGGGAAAGATTGGCAGCACGGAGGTGCGAATGAAGACGATTCGCTCGATTGCGCTTCGTTGGGTTGTCGTGACTCGCGAGTAAAGTCTGGTGGAAACAAAGTCCAAAGGGGCGGGAAAAGCCCTAGATCCTTCCGGGAATTGGGCAATTATCACCGTGTCGGTAACAACTCACCGATAGTATGCCACCGAGCGCTTACCGTGGCTATTCAGTTTACTTGCGCTTGAATCCTATTCCGAGCTTCCCTCACTATCAAGCATGGGTTGCTCTATTGTTCAACTCTGCGTTAACAAGAGTACTTTGTGTCGGAATTGGCCAATGAGAACTTGCGGGACGGAGTCTGTTCCGTCCTGAATTCTGCAGCAACAACTAATGCATCCTTCGGTATCCGTACCCAGAACCAAGTGGTTCTGTCATATGCAAGGTGGTGGGTTAATTGCCGGCTTCCCTTCTGCTTCTGGCAAACGCTCAGAGTCTTCTACGTATGTCATGACTGTCTTGTTGGCGCTAGAGTAGTTGGCAAGGAGAACTATCATCTTCGTGCTCGTTAATGTTCATGTCGGATTACCTATCCATTGGCCCCGGTCTGCAGAGTAAGGGTTTAAATCCCTCAGATGACCCCCGTAAGAGCCGGTTGGACCATATCATATCAGCTCATACTTCCCCACGCAGACGAATATGCATGTGACATGTAGGAATGCCGGCCTGGAATCAACTGAGGGGGCTTGAATGGTCTGTATGGCCTCAACTGGCACCACTGATCTGCGGGAGTGCTGGTGCCTCGAGAAGATAGGCTCATAGGACCCTTTTAGAACCCCCTCCCCCCCGGTAATCCTTCTTCCTGCGGTGCCTGCGCGCGTCGAGTCGCCTGACTGCGCCGCAATCCTGCATATCAAGCCCTGGAAATCCTGTGGCAGTCTATTGATCCTAGCATGCGGGCACTGCGGGGTGGCTGTGCCGATGAAAAACGCAGCGTCTTATCGCTTAAGCGAAGAGAAAACAAGTCCCGCGCAAAGCAGAAAATTGCCCGTCGGTGGGGAGTAAATCGCTTGCGTTCATCAACAAGATGCGGCATTTGCCTCAAATCGACAACTTACATGTTCGGAAACACGTACCTACATGCAAATTATGGGACTGTTCCTGCTGGAAACCAAGAATATGATATGGCTGGAAACCTCAACTATATTGATAATGGAACCGGAAGATTCCTTTGGTGATAAAATTGCTCGCTTGCCTTGCAAACGCTCAATGGTGGTATGATAATCCCAAACCCCTTGTAAACACATCACCCATTTTTAGACGCCGTTTTCCACTACCCATGTGAACTGACATTGGACACCGACATTTGAGCTGCCGAGCGTGATGAGCTCGCCAACGATGCGGACGACGATGCACCGCTACGTGGCTTCCGACAGTATATCGTAAGCCTGATATCAGAATGTGATTGTCAGTTATAATCCAGGACCTCCTCCAACCTTGCCTGACTCCAGAGATAACTTACAGCGTCATGAACGAATGGTAGTTCGTATCATCAATCTCCTTGCGGACCTTCTTAACCAATGCAAGAACCTGGGCCTCGGACCAGCCTAGACCAATAGTAAAAACAGGGACACTTAGCGGCTCGATGATGGCATTCCAATTGCTGGACATCATGGTACCGAACCGCTGACACTTCTTACCCGGGTAGCACGCGTTCGTAGGAGCAGCGTGCTTTGTCAACTTCATCCTCTCAAAGCCTGACTTCTCCAAGATGGGCTGATATTGTGAGACGTAGTGCATGGAGCGGCCCATATTCTGAAGACCCTGTTGGAGAAGCATGTTCCACTTGTGAAATGCTGTCCCCTCTAGTGAGTGATCTGGGGATACGAGGATCGCGATCCATTCGCTGAACTCGACCCAGCCCCCAGGGTTGAGGTGGCGATAGATGGAGTCAACGAACTTTTCCTTTTCCACGATATCGCCTAGCATACGGACATGGATGAAGTCGAACTGTCTGCCGATGTTCCAGTCGGTAGTTATATCCATGATCTTGAACTGACAGTTGGACACGTTATATGGAGGGCGCACTTTCTCAATATCGACGCCCATCACGGCGCAGTTTGGGTTCTTCTTGGCTGTTGCGGTGGTCAACTGGCGTTAGCGTGAACTTCCCGGTGTTATAATACCCCGTAGGCATTAACAGGAGCGACTTGCCATATTCCTACATGAGGCTAGTTAGCGAGTCATTCCGTGATACCAGACTAGTTACATCATTTATGCGGGAAAAGGTGAGGGGAGGGGGCGTTGCGAAGTGACTGATGATGAGAAGGTAACGCACTAATGCCCATAGCCCTGGCCCCGTGCCTACGTCGAGGGCGGCCCTGGCCTTGACGACTGGGGCCAAGTGGAGTCTGTGGTCGAAGAGTTCGGCAATGATCTGGTGTTGGAGGACTGCGGATTCCTGGTTAGCGACAAGGCAGGTCTTGGTCTAGACGCTCCAGATCCTGCAGGAAGCGCAAGATGCATGTGTAGGTGAAGAGCTAGGTGGCCGTGAACTCAAGGACCGGTGGGCCACGGTGAAGGATGCTTGCTGACCATTTCTGTCTTGTTCTTCCTGGCGGATTGGTAAGACGGGTTAGCATCGGGGCAACCTGCATCAAAGGATGATAGTTGAGTAAAGCGTACCTTGGTATTTGGCACGAAGCCGAAGCGCTTTCCGGTTTTCGCAAACTTATTGAAGATAGACTGGAAGATGGACGACTTGCCCGTCTTGATCTTTGATTTGCTGGAACTGCTACTGCACAGAAGGTTCGGATGGTCAGAATGTCGCAGGAAAAGAAAGTGTGGCCGATGAGATGGCGAGGGAAAGTGAGAATGAGGATAAACATGAAACACAATGACGAAAAAAACAATGAAAGACATCATCGTCGGATGAGAATGAGAGACTCACTTTGTTACCGCCCGGAGACTCTGACCCGGCGTCGGGTCGCTGTCCGATCCGTCGTCTGAATCGGACCCTCCCGCCCAGACGGCCTCGTTCACTTCATCGGAGGTCGGGCTCGGGTGATCCTCGGGATACTCCTATTTGCGGCATGAGATTCAAGAGCTTTGGTTAAGCCTGCATTACCACCTGGATCTGTAGGCGCCGGCGACAACATGACAGTTGCCACGGTCCACGGAGGGGTCAATGTCTCATAGACCGAAGAAGTACGTACGTCTTGTTCGCCTGACTGCATCGACGGCCTCGTTGATGGCGGCGTGCGCGGCCTGCTGTCTGTGGAAAAGTTACGGGTACGTTCGGACGACGAACTAGCGGTGAGCAGCGTCGATGTGGAGGCGGCCGAGATGCTGTTGGCGGCCGTTGGAGGACGGGTCGGCTGGTGCCGTCCCACGGGAGAGCCAGAACCGACTGAGCTCAAGCTGCTACCACCGCTTTTGCGAAGCCGCTGTTGGTTGTAGAACCTGTCCATCAACATGCGGTCCGCTCCGAGCGAGACCGTGGTGGGCAAGGGGGAAGGGTAGAAGGGAGCGGTGCGCGCTTCGGGACTGGAGGGGGAATTCGGGAAACTGGGGGGGTCCAAGTTAAATGCCGGGCCAAAGACGCAATGCACAAACCAAGAGAGTTGCAGGTCAGCAAGGCTCGACGATAGGCGGGCTTTTACTCTGGTCTCCGTATAACGCAAGGGGGAAGAAAGAAGGTTACCAGTAGCAATGAGTGTAGGAAGAAAGTGATAGACAAGCAACCAGCAAGAAAGAGGGTGCGGCGGGATAGGATAGACAAGGTCGTCCCATGAACCAGAAGCGGTTCGTCTTGTTTTTTCATTTCTGGGGGAAACTGAATAAAAACGGGCTAGGGCAACAGTTTATTTTTTGGGCAAAGGTGCAAAGGTCCCCAACCCAAGGTGGCCATGCCATGCCATCATCTCCCGGACACTGCCGTGTTTGAACGGCCCCTGTCTTGTGTCGCTTCTCCCTTTCCATCCCTTGCCGCTAAAACAGAAAAACCTTGTACGGATGGCGAGCTGGTTTGGTAAGCCCTCGTACTGCGCGTAGCCGTGTCGCTACTAAGTGCTAATATCTGCGGGGCTTTTGTCGGCGCTTTATCAGAATCAGTGGTAATGTGCCCGGATGGGCAGACAACTCTGGCTCTCTGGACTCTTCCCCGGGCCTGTCATAGTCCAAGGAAACGTTGCGGAAACCCTCGCGAAATCGCAACCCAGTCTATAGTCGTCATGTCACGCGACGCTGGCGACGTCGGCAGCGTTGGAAAAGAAATAACGGACATTTCTGGCATGGGCTCTTCTGTGCCAGTGATGAGAAAGGGGAAGCAAACATTGTATATCAAGGCGCATTTATCAATTCTGTCGGAAATCTCCTTATCAGAGCGCAAACTTCTTCCTCGCATTCACAGCCATCACACACTTTCCATGTTCCAACGCGGCCCAACGCCTTGGACCGGCAGCTAAAACCTGTCATCCTCCTAGTCATGACCTTGCATTTTCTTATGGAGCGGGAGCCGTGAGACCCAAGGGGGCCACTGGCTGGCAACCAGCACAACCCCTGTCGCCGAGCAGTCCAGGGTTCGGCAGCTGGGACGCCATCGTGTGGGATCGACTCTGACGCCTGAGCCTGCCTGCTTACACGGCACTGAGTCAAGGTCTCTGCCATGATACCGCCTTCCAGAATCCAGAAGCAATGATTCGCCCAAGCGCATCCTGGCAGACTATCGCAACGATCGTCATCGGATCTCCGGGATCCGGCTCCCGATCCAGGCAATCATTGCAGAAGTGCAGCGAGGTATTCGTCGAAAAGGGGGAAGAAGCAGCCAAGAGTAACAGCTCATCGTTTGCTCGAGCATGCACTGATGCAGTCTATGCTCGACTATTGGATTTGGGCAGTTGGCAACTTGGCTTCACGTGGTGCCGAAGAACTGCAACCGAAACAAAATGGGAAAACCAACAGCAATCTCCCGTGGCCCCCCACCCCTCTTACTTCGTAAGCACCTTAAACTGCAAAATGTGTGCGAGACCCTGTGCACCTCGAGTCTTGACTTGGTCATCATTGTCGCTGTACTTTCCAAGAGGGGTCAGACCGATCCCGAGTTGAGCGAGCTTGGGAGAAGCGAGAGAGAACGAGAGACAGGGGCGCATGCACACTGCGGGCCAACCACACAGGAAGCCCGGTCGAAATCAGCCCGAGGAATCTTGTGTAATTTGTGTTCCACCGGTCCCCTGTATCTGGGCCCGATGGATGTCTCGTCTGCACTAACACGTCTACTTGAACAGCTCCCGGGGTCTAAAGTACGGCATGCCAAGGCGGAGCGATAAATGAACTCTGTGGAACGCGGAACGCAAAGCTTCGCAGTTACCTAACGAACGGGTGTGCCCATCGGGAATCGCCATTGTCTTCCCAGCCTCGTGACCTTGTACGGGTACGAAAATCATCGACGTAGCCACCCTTTAGCCACCCTTCTCGACCGCATGTACCATAATGAACCACGTATCTGTTATATCTCCTCCCCTTCTATCCGGGACCCTTGTCTTATTCTTCATGCGCCATGTTTTGTTGGAAGAGAAACTCCAGTCAAAGTGCGAAGCTTGTTGGAGCCATCTCCGTGCTTGGTGCATCGCAAGTTCGCCAACATGACGCGTGTGGCCGCTTCTTTCCGACCAGGGGTTGAGTGAATTTGCTTGTCGAGGTTGACGCCAGAAATATCTGATAGCTAGCTCCGGAGTAGTCCACATGAATAGTGGAAGAGGGGAAACCAAGTGGTGGATTCTTTCTAATAATGCTACTATCTCGCTGGAGCCCTGATCCAGGTTCTGGTCTTGTCCTAAGGATTTCGTTCCATGTCTCAATTCACTTCCCCGACTCCCACCATCCCTCAAACTCTCACCGTAGCTCACCGCACGGACCTGAGTAGATCAATAGTATCGAAACACTAGACGAAAAAGACAGCCCCCAAGCCCTGTACGGTATACATCATGGGAGATCCCATCGCCATTGTTGGGCTCAGCGCGAGGCTTCCAGGGGACGGCGATACGCCAGAGCGGTTCTACGAGTCGTTACTCGCCGGGAGGTCAGCTCGCACGGAAGTCCCGCGGGAGAGATACAATGCAGAGGCATTTTGGCATCCGGATGCCGACAGGAGCGGCGCCGTGCGTGTTCCCGCTTCGCGTTATGCAAAGTTTATGCGACGAAAACTGACTTGCAGCGCTTTAATTTAGACACGAGTCCGTCATGGCCACTTTCTCAAGGGCAGCATATCAGCATTTGACGCGCCGTTTTTCTCTATCACACCCACAGAAGCACGAAGTATCGATCCTCAACAGCGAGGAATGTTGGAGAGTGTATACAAGGCTCTCGAAAATGGTACGAAGAGACATTCCAATTTTCGATGCTTTGATATTGGAAGTTGGCCTGAATACTGACTTTTCACGAAGCCGGAATACCTCTCGATACTGTTGCCGGAACCCAGACCGGCGTATACGTCGGCTGCTTCACGGCCGATTACAATGATCACATAGCGAAAGACTTGGATATTCCGAATAAATACTCAGCCCTGGGCACGGTAGCCAGTATGCTCAGCAACAGAGTCTCGTGGTTCTTCGACTTTCGGGGCCCGAGTGTAACAGTAGACACGGCCTGCTCAAGCAGTCTGGTGGCCGTGCACGAAGCATGCATGAGTCTCAAACTTCGTGAAGTCAACATGGTGAGGCTCTTTTTCTCATGCATGTAATTTCACCAAAGTCCCTTTCATCTCCAGGGGCGGTGACACTGAAGCCAACCAAACCACGCCCCTCCTCCTCTCCCCCGCCGTCTGCAAGCCGGGCTCTTGGCTAACCACCCCGTCATCATGTACTAGGCCGTCGTGGGCGGGTGCAACCTTATCCTGACTCCCGAGATGACACTAAAGCTAGACGCGGCGGGCGTTCTGGGTCCGGACGGCAAGTCATACAGCTTTGACCACCGGGCCAACGGATACTCCCGCGGCGAAGGGTTCGGGGCCCTGGTCTTAAAGCGGGTATCGGATGCCATTCGGGACGGGGACGTCATCCGCGCCGTCATCCGGAACTCTTCCACGAACCAGGACGGCCGATCGCCCGGCATCACGCAGCCGACGAAAAGGGGCCAGGTCGCGCTCATCAAGCACGTCTACGAGCGGGCCAACTTGGACCCTTCGCTCACGCGGTTCGCCGAGGCCCATGGCACGGGTACTCCCGTCGGCGATCCCATTGAGGCGAGCGCCCTTGCTGAGATCTTTGCGCCTCATCGGTCTGCGGACGAGCCGCTGTACGTGGGTGCGCTGAAGAGCAATGTTGGACACTTGGAGGGCGCTGCGGGCGTAGCGGCCGTGATCAAGGGTGTCTTGACGCTAGAGAGCGGCGTTATTCCCGGGAACATTTGGTTCGAGAAGCGCAACCCAAAGATCCAGGACGCGTGGAACTTGAGGTTTCCCACAAAACCAACGGCGTGGCCGCAGCGTGGCCTGCGCCGCATGTCCGTGAACTCGTTTGGCGTTGGTGGCAGTAATGCCCACGTAGTGATGGATGATGCGCTCCATTTCCTCAAGAGCTTCCGTCTGGTCGGGAACCATCGCACGGAGACGATCCCCAAGATTCCCAGACAACTAGACGCACCTTTAGTGAATGGGACGGGTAAGTTCTTATTCTTATTACGCCAGGCTCGATGGGCACACGCTGACGTTTCTGTCACAACGACACAGGCCGCGTTAATGGATTCCACCGCCCATCGGATAGCGGGATCCATCTAGACGATTTTGACACTGAAGACGCCCCACGTCTCTTTGTCTTGTCGGCAAACGACCAGGATGCCGTTTCTCGGTTACGAGACGGATACAGGGACTATCTTGCAACGAAAGCGGCCCAGATCGTCGGAGAATCCGCCCAGCTGCGGTTTTTGAGGGACCTAAGCTACACACTGGCCTGTAGGCGGACCCGTCATTCCTGGAGGACGTTTAGTATCGCCAGCTCGCCGGCACAGTTAGAAAAGTCTCTCGAGGGGAATGCGGCTACTCCCATACGAGCAAAGACCAATCCGCGGCTTGCGTTTGTCTTTACTGGCCAGGGAGCGCAATGGGCGACGATGGGCATGGACCTGTTGGCGTACCGCGCCTTTCAAGAGAGTCTGTTGGCGGCTGATCGGTATCTAAATGATCTCGGTTGTAATTGGTCCTTAACGTGTAAGTCTTGCCGTCCAACATTTTGGACCAGTGGTGTGAGACCTCGTACTGATTATTGTCGAAAACTAGTCGAATTATCAAAGTCAAAGACTTCCTCTCGAATTAACGACCCCGAATTCTGCCAACCCATATGCACTGCTCTGCAGGTTGCCATGATTGACCTTCTCTCCACTTGGGACGTCTACCCACATGCCATCACAGGACATTCATCCGGTGAAGTCGCCGCAGCCTACGCCGCTGGCGCAATCTCACGACAAGCAGCCTGGAAAATCGCCTACTTCCGCGGTAAGCTGAGCGCCAAGCTCGCGCGCTCAGCTTCTCGGCCGAGTACGGGCATGGCTGCCGTCGGTCTGAGCAAAGCCGCCACGCAAGACGCCATCGATCGCGTGAATCAGCAACTTGGCGGCGAAGGTACCCTAGAAATTGCTTGCATGAACAGCGTGGATAGTCATACCGTCAGCGGTGATGCTGAAAAGATTGACGCCCTGGTCCAGCTGCTAAGCGCCGAAAAGGTGTTCGCGAGGAAGCTCAACGTCGAGATTGCGTACCATTCGCAGTACATGAAGGCCATGGCTGATGAGTACCTGGAGGCTATGGGAGATCTTCAACAGGGTGCTTTGAGAAGCTCTGTGAAGCCTCGGTTCT